AGCGCGGGATAGAAATCCTAAGAGCCTTTTTTTTTTTTTAGAGTTTTTTTTTGCTCTGCCCTGGCACTGCTCGTGGCGTACACCGTATCATTGACGGCAGAGAAGGAACAAAAGCGCAAGTGCGGAGTAGAGGCGGTCCAATCGCCCAAACTTGTCCACTCGTCACCATTCTCGTTCAAACGGAGTTCCTCTAATGATACTCTGTCGGGAGCTATGCCAAGAGGGTATAGTTCCAAAGGACATGAGCGGTGCATCGCAAGGATTTTCGTTGGGGAGGGGATTCGTCGTCTTTGCAAGGGAATATCGCGAGGAGAAAGCTACTACGGGAAACTCTGTACCATGGATTCTTATGAAGAGCTCTTTGTCAACCTTTTGTTCGAGCTTTTTCAGAGTGCCAAGAACAGCCTATTGAGAAATATGGTCATGATTCCAAAGTCTACTATAGTAAGTCGGCAGATACCCATCCACCTCGGGTGCCATTCGTCTTGGCCAGACTCGCACAGGGCCGAGCGACGCAGCACCAACCACACATAATTATCGCGCCAAACACTTACTGAAAACGCCCCCAATGCGACCTCGATTGGCAGCAGCCCTTATCCCGGATGAGCTGAGCTTAGCTTAGTGTAGTTTGGCCCAAGCAGCGGGATTTTCCATCGCCGGCGCGGAACAACTCACCTGTGCACATCAAGCTGAGCTCGTTGCGAAAGGAAAAAAAAAGAAGTTCTAGATCGGGGCGTGGCTTGTATCAAAGTAGGAGAAACCCGAGTAAAGACTCAAGCTATTCAATTGACCTCACTACTGCATTTTACATGGTGTAGGCTGGTGCCATGCCGCAAATCAGATCATCTCAAGAGCTCCGGAAGCGCAACCTTGGCGGACCCCGGGGCTCTATCTCCGTCACATCCCGCGTCATCGACCTTGGGAAGCGGTAGCATAGCAGCACCGGTTTGATTGTCAAAGTGGTAAGACTTCGCTTCGTCGAGGCACATATCGCGCCGTAACCCCTTCGAGACTCGACGGCTCCCCGCCCGTCTCGTCTAACTCACGATGCGACGTTGTTGGCAGCAGGCTGATCTCACACGACATTGACAGCAGCAGACGTGAGGGTGTTCATCCTGTTCTCTCACCTCGACCGCCGACAACTGGGCCCGTGTCATTGTAGCAGAAGGTAGTCGGCAGGACGTCATGACAGCGCCAAGGGGGCTATAATGGGACCTAATTATTGCGCTGTGTTTGGCAGAGTTGTTCCCTGGCCTGGCGGTGCGCCTGGGTGTGCCGCAGAACAAGATTCGCAACCCGGACCTGGATCAATGCTGCAGTGTCAAGGAATCCTCACATGGCTATATCGTTGCGTGATATAGGGACAGGGCAAGGGCAGAGCATCGTCACATCGGCGCGAATCTCAAGAAGCACCGACCAGCCTGTTGAATGAACCTTCGTCCGTCGCATCTCTGTTTGCTAATAATACCAAGGTATATGTGTCTCCGAAGTATCCAGGGATACCGCTCCCCCGCATTCGACTCGCCACTGTTTGTCACGAATACAGTGTAGCCATGGTGAGCTTGGTCCGAAGTAGAGATTTTAGGCTCTGTACCGTTTTCTGCCATGGACAAGAAACCTCCAGCAAGTCCTCCGGCTTCCACTTCTCTCTTTGCTATATGCCAGACAGAATATCTTTCCTGATTGATCCTGGCATCGCACGACTTGCCAACCCTCCATGTCCGCACCAGTAGTCCAGCCATCGACTCTGACAGCAGCTACCACCACAACTCTATTTCTCCACCGCTCCCCTGATCCTTTCTTTTACATGGACGGAAAGAGACTGGTGGGAATGTTGACTGCCCCATCCCCGCACAACCGGCGCCGCACACACGGTTGTGGAATCTTTGACTTTTCTGCGTCTGTTAATCCTCACGGATCTGCGGATCTCTGCTGCATGTCGCCTTGCCTCTCACATGACATCTCCAAGCGCGTGCGTTTCGACTCCTGGCGCTGGACGATGAATAGCGTAAGCAGCGGCCTCTGTGCCACATTTGCGCCAGCCTCGCCTGTTTCCTTCTGCGGGAAACAGGATAACGCTCGGAGGGCAATACGTTGATGCAGAATCGAGCGCACGCAACACACATACGTTTGAAGCATTGCTGGCTGGCGCCGTTGAGACCCCTGCGAAACATCATTGGGCCGTGCAGTACGGATACCAGTGTCAGGTTTAGCGGCGAGGGCGGGCATAGAGTACATGTATCATCAGTACGGATATGCCTCGTCTCTCTCGCAAGGTCTATCAAAGGCCTGCCAAGGTCCGGCCAGCCCTTCCAGCTCGGAGCTTGCCTTTGTTCTCCGGCCAGGAGTTTGACCTTCAGGAGACTCAAATGGCACGCCGCTTCCTCCTTGTTACCCACGCGCGAAGCACCATCTCTAATAATCCCTCCAACGACAGGATGTCGGCTGTGGCTGCAAAGGGGGAACGTGGCGGGCGGCCGAACTCCACGGTCCTCTTCCTCGTGCCTCATCCGGCATCGCGGTCCTGGGCGTCGTGGAGAACGCCTGCATCCAGAATGTCCCTTCCTCGACATGGACGGCACATCCGGATGCGGCAGCTACTTTGACTTTAATTCATACCCTCCGGCGGCGGAGGGCCCCACGCCACGGGTCAAAGTAGCTCATGTGAGCCAACGGCCGACAGGGTAGCCTTACGTGCAGCAGCCAGGCAAGAGAAAGGTTAGCAGCACGGGCCAAGATGGTCCGATGTGCGGGATGTATCCGTAGACGAAGTGCCTCCAAAGTCACGATGCGTGAGAAGGACAAAAGTCGGCGCGGGCGTATTGGTGGTCGTTGTAGCAAGAATCTTGCTTTCGAGGCAAGCTCCAGCCTCCAGACGGTCTCGATCGTCGGCGGCCCTATCTGATTGTAGGTAGCTCAGTGGCGAGGTACCATCGGCACCTACTGGATGGGTTTGTTATGGGTTCGGTGAGGTGGCAGGAGGTGGGTGCTGACTGCTGAGGTTACATTCTGTCAAAGTGTCCTAAAAGTGTGAATAGCTTCGCTCTCGCGACCCCCCGGAAGGAAGGGGTCAGCCTGCACAAGGTTCCTTTGCGGTCGGAAAAAAAAAAAAAGAGGTGCGAAATCTCGGTCTCCTAGTTTCCTACAGCCTTTTGCCGAACTATAATGTATTCGTCTGGTTTGCATGTCTAGTTCTAGCTCAAGTCGTCCCGAAACATCACCCCTCGCCATGTTGAGCTAGGTCCGTTCTTCCTCTGTCGTCCGGATCATTGAAAACCTGATTTCCATGGCTCTAGAGACTCTGTAGCACGTCGGCAGAAATGGACAGAAGCTCTAACCCGGGTTCCCACTTTCGAGGGGTTTCTAGCTCGAAATGTAGCGTCTAAGCAAAACCCCCTGGCTCGGCCATAACAGCGACTCGGGCGCTAAGAAGAAGACCCAAGCAGAGCCTCTTGTCGCTTTGCCGTCTGCCAGACCAAAAGCTGCTGTCAGAAGGCCGATCAGCCATTTGGATTCCGATCTCGTCGAACCTGTCGAGCCCACTCCGGCCGTCCCAGGTGAAGTTCGCGAAACGGGACCCCGGAGAGAGGTCCCGCCTGCGCTGGCGTTGTCTGTCTGCGCATGGAGCCCCGTTTTCCATTCTCGGCCGAGGAACCGAAAGCTGCCCCCTGTCCATAAGAGGCAATTTGCTAATTCGTGAGAGTTTTGAAATTCTGCCCGGGGGCGCAAAGTCTCGAAACGGAAAATGGTTCGATGAATGCAGCTAATAGGCTCCTCATCGTGATTATCAACGCTCGTCAAAAACAGTCGTATCATGGCGGCCCATTTCAGCCGGGCCACCACCCAGTTCCTCGGCGGCGGGCGCAGGACGCGCAGGTGGGCTCCGGAGTCTTGGACAGGATACGAATCGCGCCGGCCGGGACCCCTCACCCCTTCATGTTCCTCCGCCCTGTGGACCATCCTCAATTAAAGACATTCGGACCCTCAGGCTTCGCGATGTGTCCAATATCCCAAGCTTTTACTTGTTTTCGGAGGAAATGCTCCCAGTCTCCCCCTCCCCCTGGACAATTCTTCAACATTGACTTTGATACAGAACGATTGTGATCCGCGCTATCCGGCGATAATGTGAACCCTCCGCGTACTGAACGGCAACATTCCGCCCACTTCCGTTGCCATGTCGAAACGAGGCAGTGATAGATCAGCTTTGTAAACGAATGAGGTACTCCGTTCACAGGGTGATGACAAGCTCACGCCAAGATCTCGATGGGCTGACAACAATATAGTTTTCTCTCTTGCTCCGTTACTGACCGAAAGCTGCCCCGCACGGCCGCAACGTTCACCATCATCCAGCTTTCTCGCCCGCCCAAGAGATGGAGCGGCGCAAGCTCCTAATGGTTCATGGTAAAACAAAATGATGTCTACGAAGTTAACCCACACGTCAGTCAAACCTATTTGTTGACAGGACAATGAGTGCGTTAGAGTTTCCCTACGTGCCTCTCGCTGCTTCGCCAACGCGAAAAAGGGTTTGTTCGCTTCTGCCGAAATGGAGGTGTGATGATGGAACCGGGATCCCCTCCGCGGGCTCTCTCGCAAACTCGCAAGCTCTAATACACATCAGCCGATGAGGCGTCTCGCGGTTTCATAGTTTCACGACGGGGATCATCGATGCCCAGCGCATGCCGGAAGAGCAGATCTCCTAGATACACGAGACGAATTCATTGGCTATTCGTCAATCATCTCCCGGTCACGATTCTAGACCCGTCCTCAGCTCGCCCCCCCAACTATGCATCCCACACGTCGTCCCATCACTGATTTGCTTTCCCATCCCGTCGGGCCAATCTCACATGTTCCCCTCCCTCACTTTGGGGAATCGAAAGGTTCCAGACTCATCCATCCCCCCCCGCAAAGTCAAATCCGCGTCCGTCTCACGGCAGAGCACTCTGCCTCCCTTTTGCTTCTGCACCAGCGGGAGGCAGCCCACGGCACCTCGTCGAGTCCCGTCAGCCACGCGGCCCCCCCGCAGTACGGTCCCCGTGTCCGTCTGGCGGCAGGCTGACGGCGACTTTGTGGGCCAGTGCTTCCGGGACCCGCCGGAGGACGTTGCCGGTCACCGACAACCAGTATCGCTCGTAGTAAATGTCGCTGTCCAGCCAGAGATTGACCGTCATCAGCTGGGGGGTGTCAAGGATCCTCAGAATCGCGCTCCATGATTCTACCCACTGCTCAAACGTGCTTCCTTGGTCGGCCTGGCGTCGGAAGGAGAAGTTGATGCGCCGGAGTGGGTGGCTGCTGGATGTTTTCCATCGGACACCGAACAGGTTTCGCGCCACTTTGATGTCGGTGATGGTGAATTCTGTTGACCTGTAGAGTGACGAGGAACATTCGAAATATCTATGTGCTTTTGAGTGAGTAACTGTCTGGGAAGACGACACCCCCTGAGGATCCCCTGCATCTCTTCAGCAAAATGGAATGCGCAACTTACAACGTCTTGCAGGTCAGCATCATGGGAAGATATGGTGTCAAAGTTTTGGCAGGGACACCGTGACTTGTTCGTCTCTTTGAAATGTTTCGCCAAATCTCTCTCTCATCTCTCGCCTCCTCGCATTTCCAATGATCACACCACGCCGACATCTCGCGCTTATACCAGAGCGATACCGACCCGCGGGCATCAGACCCCATCCAGTTGAACTCCCAGGGATCATCCGCTTCAACGGCGGTACAATCAGGTCTTTCGAATAAGCATCTGGAATGTCCATAACCGGCTTCGGTACGGACAATGTGCTGACCAAGACCAGCTGTGCGCCATAGCTCTTGAAATATGATCTCTCGAATCTCTCCAGAAAGCCTGCCCAAGAAGCTCGTGCTGAATCGGTCTACTGGCAAAGGTCTGAGACACTCGTTGTCGTGATGAAAAGAAACGTCGTTGGAAACGTTTTCGACGGAGTCGTCATATGCCTCGCGACGCGGGACGAGGGTCTCTGAGGAGCCGCTGGCAGTGAGTACATGAAGCTTGGGGGTGGTTGTCAATGTAATCTTTCGCACTTTAAGATCTGACAGAATCGAGTATAGCCTGCTCTTGAGCTTCCTGGCCAGGGCGAGGGGCTTTTTTGCACATGAATACACGCCGGAGTGGCCTGACCGGCGGATTTGGTCCCTCATCTCGGCAACGGCTGTTGGACAAACGCGACGCAATATGAATAGAGGGAAAACGACGTTGGTGCTGGAATATGGAAATGAGAGTGCTTTTTGAAAATGAGGGACGGGTTGTCACAACCTTGACAGACCAGCAAACGGCCATCAACAGGCATCCCGTGCCGCCAACCACACATGCAGACAGGCAAACAGCGTCGACCATCTCATCCGTAGATATGCGCCAACCAACAGTTGAATCACCTACACTGTATCCGGATACAGTAGAGCAGTTTGCTCGCGGTGAACCGTCCACATTCTATTGGTCACGGATGCCGAGAGGGTTTTAATCATCATGGGATTCAATTCAAAGACCGTTTGTGGGTATTGTGGTCAGAGCTAAGCGACAAAATTCCGTGGCAATCCAACGCCCGTAATTCAAATCCAACATTCGACACGCAGTATGCCTTCTCTCCAAGTCAACATCAGATGTTGTAAACAAAAGCAAGCTCCTCCTCCTATTGAACAAACTGACGTCCGTTGGGCGACAATGCATTTACTTCTGTTCAGCCTTGGCCTTGCCAGCACCGCCGCCAAACAGACCACCAACGAGGCCGCCAGCGCTCTTGACACCCTCAGTTGTCTTGCCAGCAACGGTCTTGCTGCCCTCGGCCACGCCGCTGCCCGCCTGGTTCAAGGCACCGGAGCCGGGGACGGCGGTGGGCACGTAGCCGCCCTCGTCATCCTTGCCTTGGCGCTCGGCACGGTTGACGCCCTCCTTGGAGGCCATGTCGCCGATGGGCTGTAGGAGGCCGCCTTGGCCGACCTGGCCGGCGGCGAGGTTGTGCACGCCGTCTTGGAGGGTGTCGACTTGCTCGATGCCGGTGACCTTGCTCTTGTCGAGGGTATCTGAACACGAGCCTGTTAGTCTGAGGTTCTACCCGCTAGCCCAGGTACTAGTGTGATCTGGGAGGTTCGTGAAGGCTTTCGTGGCTTACCCTTAGTCGCGTAGCTGGCCTTGTTGTCCTTGGTGAACCACCTCAGGTAGACGTCCTCGAGCCATGGAACCCACTTCTCGTACTGCTGGTTGTATGTTTGCTTTGCCCACTCAGCCATGATGAATGATTTGGATGGAAGTATCAAGATGTGACGATATTGGCTGTTTGGATGATGGAAAGTACAGGCAAGGTTGGAATAGATCAACGAGATGAACACCATAAACGGACGAGGAACGCGACGTGGACTACCGGCCTGATATAGGTCCATCCAAAGGTCCAGCCCAGCCCAGCCCAGCCCAAGCACCAAGACCAGCACACACACACACACTCATACACTTTCATCATCAGAGTCGTCACTCGCCCATCCTTCTCTTGTTTTACTGCGCGTGTGCGTATGTGTGGCTGAAGATGCCCGTGGGTACGTCATCCGGGTCCGTGATGGAGGCGTCGAGGCGCGATGCCATAGGCTGGTCGTGCTGTCAGGCAGCCGGGGAGGACCCCCGTCGAGACCCCTGCGAAGGGCATCATCCAGCGCAATGACAAAATCCTGGAAGTTGGCAGCCACATTGCGCCACGCGGAGGGGGGGACTCCTCCAAGCACTTTGACCACTCAGCGCAAGCGAGCGGCCTCTTGTTGCCTTATAGTTTCAGATTACGCCTTGGTATTGAGTGGTGGGAAAATGCCCTTCGAGCTGGCACGGCTGGCTAGTGGCATCGTCTGACGCTCTCCTTGGGCTGGTAGGTTTCGTGATGGAGCACGTGGGGGAAGACTCCAGCGGGAGGGATGAGTGGGATTGGATGGGACGTACCTTATCCGGAGTATCCAAGTCTTTGGCATGGGGGAAAAAGAAATAAAGATCAAAAGGGCTGGCCCAGATCTCGATTGCGGGTTTCGACGTCATCCCGCCGCCATGTGGGTCCCAAACTCGGCGCGAAGTGGAGACGGTCGTACCGCGTTGCAACCGGCCGGTGATGTGGGGTCCGGCGTGCGCCGGTAAATGCATCCACAACCTGCTGTCAAGTTCCACGCTGCTGTCAGCTATTAACGATGCTATCTATCATCAGCTCACGTGGGAAATAGTTTCTTCAGATCTTTTCAAAGTCATTTCGCCCTGTCTTGCTAATAGCAATTACTTGTCTTCTATGCTTAGGTACATGTTATTAACTACCTACAATACATGTAGGTGTACGTGTCGTATGATCATGATATCAAGGAGATTTTTTGCTTTTGAATCCTTTTAATACAATGAAATCAGTGGTCGATACATGATTGTCTGTAGAACTTCTCAACCAATTAACTGTCAGAAGAAATTCAACTCTGAGCTCTTAAGCAAGGGCCAGCTTTTGTCCGGGGCTCAGTGTCATGCGGGAAGAAGCTGACCTGTGGAAGTCGGCGAGTGTCACACAGCGTTCTGAGTACCAATGTTTCCGGTCTCCGCCAAAGTTTCCGGTCTCCGCGGTTGGTTTTTTTTCTTTTCTTTTTTTTGCATCCCTCCTTAATCGGTAGAGCTCATGAAGCTGTGCTGAAGATTGATGAATAAAAAAATCTCGCTCTGATCTTCGAATCAGATTGCTCAGGCCACGCCTGTTATGAGACAGAAGGTCCAGAGATTCTGTGTGGCTTTGTTTAATTGGCGTTGATTCAGAGGCCCGCGAGCGCACCCGACATGAAAGAATCCGGCGGCAACTCGTATCTCTCCGTACCTGCCATTATGCTTGATCTGTTCACAGGCTGTGGTATATAGAAGCGTACTCTTTGGGATCTAGCCGAGGTAGGTGACGGCCGGTCTTCCGCAAGCTCCGGAGTAGGACTAGTGATTCCAAGCTCCGATATGGAACTGTCATTGAGTTCGTGGAATACTTCTTCTGGCCTGTATGGCCCGTGTCTCACCCATGTGTGGCTGGCTGCCTCAGCTTTCAGAGAGGTTGTTGGGGAGGAAGAAATGATTTGTCCGCCACGAAACCATTTTGCGGGCGTAAACCACTCGCTAATAGGGGAGCGTTTCCCTGGACTTCTCGTAGCAGACCTTCTGTTCAGCTTGGAAGGCCTGAGTCGCTCATCGAGCACACCATCAGGCGACGACGACATTCGCCAACTTTTCACCCACGGCCACCTTTCTGTCTGCCTTGCCGCTGGAAGCTTGATGGAAAGCTTTGGCTTGGCCGCACTCGGGGTTTTCTGGCTCATACGCGTAGACTGTCGGGTGACTCGGGTGCTGTGTTGGCAAGAATCGCACGGCAGCGATAGTTCGGGAGCACTGCTGAAGCCTGATTCCGCCCTGGCCACTGACTGGTTCAGTCCGAAACGACTGAATGCGCGAGTAAGCCGACCATACACAGGAGACCCGTCAGATGTGGTAACTGGAGAGGCCATCGTTCCAGGACTCGTGCCAATCGTTTCCGTCGGCGAGCTCTCTTCGACCGTATCGTCTTCAATGACAGAGGGTCTTGCAGGTGTTATTACCTCTTTTCTCGTATCAATATCGAGTCGCTGGTGTTTCACCATGCTGAGTTGTAGAGGCGAGGGCAGATGGCTGATGGTCCCGCAGCCATCCCATCGAAGTTGGAACACCTCTTGCCCGGAGGGTGAATATGCGCCAGCATCCTGCTCGTTAGGCTGTCCTACTGGGGAGTCCGGTAGAACCACACAGGCGGGATCTAGAGTATACGGCCCCAGAGCTGCGGAGAGAAAATCTGAGTGATTTTCAAGGAAGTCTGTGACATTGGCTGGATGTTGGTACTTGAATCCTTGTGAAAGCCTGCGCCGGAAAACCTCTGCCCTCAGATAATCGCCCGTCATGTCATACGTCGTAGCCAACAAACCCAAACTGTTATTCAGATCCAGTGTAATGATATCCGTCTTGCGCAGCTTAGACAATCTTGCGTGTCCTCTGACTGCTTGCTTGCATGTATCGAGAGCAATGTCAAAGAAATATTCAGACAAGTACGCAAGTGCCAAGGCATGCAACAAGTTGCAGACCACACTGTCTCTGCCAGACTTTGAGGAGGCCAGGTCCGTGACGACAGGTTCGGCCATTTTCCAATTGCCTTGGAAAAAGTAACAAATGGCTAGTTGGACCTTGAGACTGCGCATTGATATGTAGCTACTCTGGCAGAAGTCCCCCTCGTCCAAGGTGGCCTTTTCATAACTTGCCAGAGCTTTTGTCAACATATCAGCCGCTTTGACAAAATCGCGGGACTTGATGTTCTCGATTGCAATCTGGCGAATGCAAAGAATGTAGTCTCTACTGAATGCCGCTTCTTCGTCCTCGTCGTCATCGACTTCTAGATATTCAAGATCACTGTCGTCTTCTGGAGCCGGAAGATCGCTTGATTCGCTTTTCACTGGGGACGCACAACTATCTAGCCCGGGCGGCTGATTGCGGACTGAAGTATCTACTTGCGGAAGTAGTTGTGGAACCAATGGTGTAGATTGAGTTTGACCCTCGACGATGAATCTTTCTACTCTTTCCCGCCTGAATGGTGAGAGATTACTAGTCAGGCTGATACCGGTGGGTGATAAAGGTTGCCAGGTTCTTTCGCTGCGGTCTCCTCGAGAAGTGCCGGCTGTAGAGCTTGCTGTTGAGTAAAAGTTTTTTGCAGCTTCCGCCAGAGCTTGTAAGTTCCGGGAAAGTCTTGCGTTGGATCGATGACTGAAAGTGTGGGCAATCACTTCTGATGGTTTTGCTGATATCTCAAGAGCTCGGTCGATAGATAATCTCAATCTGGATAATTCGTCCATGATTAGAGTCTGAGATATCTTGTTCTTGAGGGAGAGCGAGCTGTGATAGGTTAGTGACTTTGCAAGGTGTAAGTCAACAAAGTAACGGCTGAACTGACACGGTGATGGTGTGTAATATCGTCTGCAAAGCCCCATTCGACTTGTGAATCTTTTCCTGAAACGCCACCAATTCATTGCCATGAACAGTGAGATCGAACAAGGCTCGGAACTTCCATCCAAAGGTCCGAGTGCCTGCCGCCTTCTTGACCTTTGCGAGGAGCATCTTCAAGTCGTTCAGCGTGGCTTGGCAATCTGCGAGAGCGATGTTGCTCTGTTGCCACAAGTCATCTTCGACATCAGCAAGGTCGAAGGACCGGCATTCTTTCAAAGTTCTCTCCACTGCTTCCAACAGATCCGTCAAGTTCGTGAGCTCCTCGCATAGCCTAGTGACCCGAGTGTCCACTGTCTTCAGGCCATGTATGAAGCCATATAGAGACTTTGTGAGCTAAGTAAGATCATCTGCATTAGCCTATGAGCTCTGAACGCTTTGATCTCGGCCTTCACTCACGATGCCTGATGCCTCGATCAGAGTGATCACTGAAGCTGTGACGGACAATGGGTCCATGTTCACGTTGGCGGTTGAGAGACGCAAACGAAAGTTGGCTTGATTGACCTGTCACTCGCAGCAGAAGAAACCCAAAACTAATTTCAAGAAGTCTTTACGGTCAGTATATCGCCTAGCGACATCTTAAACCTCCTACATCGTGCGACTCTGGAACGAGGATTAAGCCCTCGACTCTGCCTGAGCGCCCCAACAATGTGAGTCGTCGCGGCAAATGCAGCAGCTCGAGAAGATGCCGTAAGCGAGAAATCGCCTTGCACGAGACATTAAAGCCTCAAAGCTCAGTGGATAAATAACTCAATTCTTCGAGGCAGAACCGACGGAAACTTGAAGGCAATCGGCTGCCTCGAAAGCACAGCCAATGATTCTCAGTCACAGACGCCACATAAGACAGTTGAGCAGGGCTCAAGCTGCATATGTAAACAACCAAGAGTCTTCGGTGTGATGCACGCAGCATTCCCCCGGCGTTTTCACCGGCGTATACGAGAGCGGGCACCCTAAGTAGCAACACAGGAGCATCCTTCTTCCCTCAACGATGGCTGGTGTGGTGTTGCAACGAAGCTGAAAAGGAGGGTGCGGGCGTACCATTCACCCCTGCTGACTCTCCATGCTACTGCGCAGGGGTATCGTCCTCTTTGTTGCATTTCGCAGCCTCGGAAATTCATGCTGAGGCTTCTTACACAAAATCTCCCTTCGGTGTGCATCGCTTAATGCCGCGCCGATGCCGACCTGGGTCGATGATACTCCCCGGGACCAAGCAAACCCCCATTCTGCCTTTTTCCTCTCGGGCCCGCCGAGGACAGCCTTGTTAACACATTTGCTTACCTGGAGATGACAATGAGAGGCGCAAAACAGTCTGCTTACGCCGCTCGGCGACAGTGCAGTAATCCCATCTGGATCGGAGACGACAGTTCAGAAGGCGGCCTTGCCGACTCTAAAAGGTAAGTAGAGCAAGGTCGACACATGAAGCTTGTGGACTGAAGACTCGAATATTGCTAAAGGAGTAGCGTCGCCCAGTCAGTTTTCCGCCCCATTTCTAGCCTTGCCATTTCCTTTACACGTCGAACTGCCGGTGCAAGCGCTGCTCCAGTTCAGGAGTGAATTCAGTCGTAATAGATCATCAGTCGGTAACTTCATTCCCCAAAGCAAAACGCAAGGCCGGTCACATCGAAGCTAACCAAACATCATCAGAGTAATCGATGAAGTTGTGAATAGAATTCGAACCAAGCAAATCAGGACACGAATACCGCATCGATACATCGCCAACTCAATGGGACGCTGATGTGGGCCAATGTTTGATCATTCCAGCTTCCTGTTTCCAATTCCGCCCCGTATTCAAACCCGACAATATTCCTCACTTGAAACCGTAAGATTTTGGTCCTCGGTATGCGAGTGGAAGAGCAAGGTCATGATTACAGATTGAAACATTATAAAAGAAACTCCCTACGAATAATACACCTCACAACTTGGACTTCTCAAGCCTCTGCCCATCAGCCTTCCCAGGCGCCGGCTCCTTCTCGCTCGTCTCCGCCTTGAGACTGACCGGATCCCCCAGCTGCGACGGGTTCCCGCTCTCCAGGTTCTCCTTGGCGACCTCCTTCAGCCTCCTCTTGTCGTAGTCCTGCACGGGCGAGCCGTCCGAGTTCTTGGCGCCGCCCGCGGGGCCGCTGCCGGCCTTTGACTGCTGGGGCGAGTGGGGTTTCGACTCTGCGGCGGCGCCGAGGTCTTCTTCCGTGGGCGACAGCTGGGAGACTTCAGCTTTGAGGGAGATGGGGTCGCCGAGCTGCGATGGGTTGGAGGAGGTTGCCTTTTCGGCAACGTGCTTGAGGCGTTCGGGCTGCTTTTGCTATAGGGCAGAGAGAGTGTGTGTTAGTCAAGGCACGGTTGAGGGCCAAATGCACGTGTAAGTTGGCCATGCGTCCCGGGGGTGAGCAACCTACAGGTGCCATTGTGTATAACTCTTTGAAATCTAATCGTATCGTGTCTATCGATTGATACATACATATCTCAGTAATTGGGAGACCGGCTCCATTTTAAAGTGCAGTTCCGTCACTGGAGACCAGGCCGTTGCAGAATGATACCATGGCGTTGCGGTCTTTGACGCCTTCATCTCAATGACGTGGATGACTTACCCTGCCGAGGGCCACAGCGTGCAACTAACTACACGTACCAACGCGGATGATCCCGTCATGGTTAGTTAAGTAGACAAGCCTCATCGGAAAGATCTGCTAATTGCGGAGTAGTTAACTAGTAGATGGATCTGAAAACATGTGAAGGCGAGCTAAGTAAGACTACCCAATTCCTCGAGCACTTCTTTTACACAGCACACGTGCAAGCCTAGACACACGAATCAACATGTAAAGTGAAATAGGCTTATATACTATTCTAGTCGTGGTATCTGCTAACGTGCTCTTAACGACGCACAGGATGCTAATTACGCTAAACACTTGAAAGACACTTTACAAACTCCGGCCGATAACATGATGCAGTCGATCGTTGGCCCGTCTGATTTTATACGCTCGTCACCTCACACCGAGGCACCTTTTCCACCGGTCATCGCTCACAGCGACCCACGTAGTCATGACCGCACCGCGCCAACCTGCGCCGCACTCGCAACAGCCTGAAGCGGCTCCAGCTCGTCCTCCATATCGCGATCCGTCTGCTCCACGCCCGCGACCTGCGCATTCGCGCCGGACCCGCCGCTGGCCCCGTTCGTCGTAGACGTCGCCGCCGTTGAGCCATCTGCTGCTGGCGCAGCTGGCGCCTCGTCCGGCTGGCCCATCCCGATGACGTCGATCCAGTTCCAATACTGCACCTTGCCCTCGCTACGTTCAAAGATGACCTTGTCGTCCATGACGCCGTCGTCGGGCCCGTTATCGGCATCCTCATCGCCCGAGATACCCAACTTCCCGGACCCCGTGCCGTCGACGAGGTCGCCGATCCACGTCCGCGCCACGGGGACGCCGTTGGCGCGCATGAGCTGCAGCTGCGCGCGCAAATTCAGCCTCAGCGCGCGCTCGGGCTCTTCCGAGTTGAAAATCTTCTTCGTCAACCAGGGGAAGAGGATACCGAAATCGGACTGGGACAGGTGCGCCGAGCTGCGGACGTAGAAGAAGTTTGGCTCGGGGAGGCTGACGCCGCTGCGGCGGAAGACCTGCGGGGTGATGACGGGCGCCGAGGGCTGCGGGGAGAGCACGCGGGCGGTGACGTGGAGGTGGTCTGTCCACTTGTAAAAGGCGTCGGACTCGACGGCGAGGATGGCGTTGCCGCCGGGGGCGCGGGAGGTGTTTGCGTAGGCTGGGAGGGGCAGGTTGAAGAGGTCTGCGGAGCCGGGGGCCAGGAGCGGGAAGCACCACATGTCGAGGAGCATGGTAACGTTCTTCTCCGTGATTTGTTTGCACAGCGCCGAGTCGCGGCGCGGGGTGAAGAGGGGTTTGGGGACGTGGGCGAGGGCGGAGGACTCGGCGTAAAAGGTTGTCTTGAGGAGCTGGACGACCGAGGCGGAGCCGAAGCTGTGGCCGCCAAAGATGATGCAGCCCGGTTCGTGGACGTGTAGTTTGTTCTTGAACTGGGTGAGGCTCGGGGTGGACTTGTTGAGGTTGGACATGGCGAGGCCGAGGTCCATGTTGAGAGTGACCATGTGGATCATGCCCAGCTCCCAGAGGCGGATGCGCAGCTGGTCCTCGCGCGCCTCGTAGATTTCGGGCCGGGCGTCGTGGTCGATGCGGACGTAGGGGACGACGCGGCGGGTGTCGCGCATGAAGTACTGGTCCTGCTTGCCGGGGATGCGGACGAAGGCGGCCACGGCGCTGCCGTCGCGGTGCTCGGGGCAGACGACGACGATGCCGTGGGAGGCCAGAGATCCCGCGAGGTGGGAGTATGTATTTCGGTTGCCGCCGAGGCCGTGGGAGAAGATCATGGTCGGCCATCGTCGGTTCGGAGTATCGGGTTCGAGGATCTCGGCGTTCTTGTGGACGGGTATGGTGGTGTAGTGCAGGTGTCGCGGGAGGAACCTGGCATGTTCTTGTCAGTACAGTGCCTTATGAGCACACACTCAAGGTGCACTGTAGGAATACATGAATACACATACGAGACAATGTCTGCGAGCATGGGGCGGATGCCAATGAACTGGGTGTAGGCAGAGACATGCTGGCGTTGCGGCGAGGGCAGCCAGTTGATCCTCTTGCAGTCGGACTCGGGGGTTGCAGGGTAGAAGACGCGGCATTGGACGGTATGAATGTCGGTTGCGCTGTAGGGGGTCGGGCTAGGCGACTCCAACTCGGAGACGGGGATCTCAATGTCGACGGTGCCGACCTTGTGCGGGCCGGTGTAGTCGGGGAAGGACGGCACGGGGCTCATCCGGGAGAAGAAGGACGCGACCTTTTCGGCGGCCGTGGGCGGCGCTTGCGCAGCGGGCGACATGGCTGCTGCGGTATAGTCTCTCTCTCTCTCTCGGTGTGTTTGATCTCGCGATGCAATTGTTGCTTTGGTGTTTACTTCGCGTTGTGTTGCGTTGCGATGGCACTCTGCGTGTTGAGCCGTCGGTCTGAGGTGTGAGCGGATGCAAGGGATAAACCGAAGCGCAAGCCGACGTTGGGAGGAATTAGGAGGTAGGAAAAAACACGGGATCGAGTCCGCGTGTGCCAAGGTAAGTGCTAGGTAATTAGGTAGCTATGGGATTGCGCCGGCGTAGTGGTTCATTCAAGGGCGAGAAGAAGAGAGTTTCAATTGAGCCTGAAATCTTGTGCTGATCCCTCTTGCAAGCTTTTGCGGTCAGATATACGTGCGTCGCGATGGTGTTTTAAACCAATGTTTCCGTCGATGCAACTTGGTCCCGTCTTTCAATGCGGCGATCAATGCAAGCCGTCGTCAGCAGAGGTGCTCAGTTGCGTGGGTCGTTGGCAGCGTGTAGCAGGGGTATATTAGGGTGGACCAGCGTCTTCTTTATGGATGAACCAAGATGTAATTGCGGTAGCTTGTAAGAGAGACAGAGGAAGGGCATCGGCAACATCCGTCCAGACTCTTTTTGTAACTATCGTCTATTAGGTTCGCCGCCAAAGAACCGCCCGAGGATGTATCCGTAAGGAGACGACAAGATCAAGCTGTGGCCCTAGCGAGTAGGAACAGGGCGAATTAGTCGACAGAAGCGCAGTGCTCAGATGGGAGTTCGAAACCCGATGACAATTAGCTCGGAGCAGTGTTCCCTGTTGGCAGCCTCACTCCAAAGTCAATACCGCGACGGGTTGTTGAAATCAATGCCGTAATGTTCCTTGCAAGTTGGGAAAACCGTTCCAAGGTTGTTGGTCACTGCTATTAGCCAAGAAGCCAGACAGCGGACAGACCTCTTTACATATCAGAGACGGCACGAACACCCCCTTTGTGAGAAAGCTGGTGGGGAGAGGAGGCAATAAAAAAGTTAAGGCGCAAAAAAATTGCTTTCCACCCTCCGGAACCAATCATTTTCTCGAATCGACTCGAATCAAAAATGGTCTTGTGGCCACTTGCCCGAGGTGGAAACGTCATCCATCTATCCGTAGGTACTGTGGGCGTATTGAGTCGTGCGAGCTGGAGGTCTACTATGTAGATGCGCTTGCGAGTCCAGAGATTTCTTGCCTCGGTCAACCAAAACGGCTTAGTTGAGGTTCAAGCGGAGAGAAAAGCAGAAACGAGGCGGAGCCGCGACGCTGGAAAGCTCTGGCGCTGGTTCATCGCGCTGCTGTCGCTCCGTGTACTCTGTGGACGAAGCTTCTTCCCACTTGCGGCCATCCCGAGACGGAGATGATCAAGGCTTATTGCACGTAGGAACGAGTGGGACGTGAGCGCGGCGGTTCCGTTTCCTGTTCCTGCAGAAAGAATCTTTCTTGGCGCCCTCTAGTCGCTATTCTTAGTGCAGCTGCTTAACATCCTTTGGGACGGCGCATGAAGTTGGGTCTTATTCATCTCGTTGGGTACTCGTCGGCGCATAGACTCGCTGCATTCAAACGTCTCGCCGCTCAAAGTGGTCGACGTCTTATCGCCATTTCACTCGTGATCGTGATCAGTTTGGGGTCGCCTCCTCGAGGCCCCCAAAAAGACGCGGCAGGGATGTTCCTTGGTGGCTGAGATGCGTGATTGACGCCCGAGGCAGCCCAGATTTTGTGGCGACCTTGGCATGGTACAATTGGTCTGCATTGGTGGTCCTTTGTATGAACGGTCCATAAATTTGAGCCATTGGATGCAAAAGAGATAAAAATGAGCAAGAAAAAGTAGAAAGCGAAGGTGACAGGGAACAAACGTCATCGCCGGTGCCTGCAACCCCCGACGCTCCGTGGCTCCGCCCCGCCCTCCCCTAATATGGGGCATTAGTCAGACGGGGTTCTCATTGGCTTTTCGCTTCGGTCCGGACAAGGACCCACCCAACCCGTCAGAATTTTCTTTTTTCGGCTTTGCCCCGCTGCGGCCTCTCTCCAACGCCCTCTTCTCACTGATGACACCAGCGGAGAGATAATTCTTGGTGCTCAGGTTCTACTCATTCAACATCCAAGATCATGTGATTATCACACGGAAGGGTGGCCGAGTTGGTTATGGCGCCAGGTTAAGGTCAGCTTAACATCTGTTTCCTGGTGGGGCAACCCGCGCGAGTTCGAGTCTCGTCCCTTTCATTTTCATTTTTGAATCTTCCCATGAACTTGGTGTAAGCCAAGTTTTGGACAAAAGCCATGTCCCACCCTCCTCCCTTCACTGGTTTTCATTTTGGCAGAACCGTCTTCTTGTTGACTAGATGCCATACTCGGTATGACATACCCCCTCCTAACACCAAGATAGACGTGCCGCTGCCCACCTCTGCCTCAACTTCAATCTCAACGAGCACCTCATTCCCAATCAGCCCAGCCGTGACTGTGGTATTAGCCGGCCGTATCCCGTGACACTTGAAAGCCCATCCGTGTGCCTCTGATACCTCCAAAACGTCCCCTTCCTGCCGGAGCATGACCCTCGTCCGGACCACGTCCGACATGCCACCTCCAAGCCGCTTCAGGCTCCCCTCGATGGTGTCGAGCACCGCAACCGCCTGGGATCGAGCAGACTCCCCTCCGACCACCTCAAGTCCGGGCCGGAGCTCAGACGGCGGGTTGGCCGTCGTCCCAGACACCCGAATCACGTCGCCGATCCGCACAGCGCGCGAGTAGCCGGCTACTGGCTCCCACTTGCTGCCCGAGCGATACTCGACCCTGTGACCCCTAGCAATGGCCGCCTCTACCTTGTACCTCTCCTCTCTTTCCTCAATGTGATGGCTCAAGTCGCCCGAAGCCGTCAGGAACGGCGGTCTCCGGTACTCGTCGCCACAGTCCCCGGGTATGTCCGTCAACCCCGTCTGTGCTGCGGCAATCGTTGCCCTGTCCTCCTCGTCGAGGGAGAACCCAAACGCCGCAAGGTTGTCCGCGGCATACCTCCCGCTCTCCCCGTTCAACCTCGCCCCGATAATCACCGCCTTCACAACCGGGATATCAAGCACCCACCTCATCGCCACCGCCGCAACAGAAACCCCGTGCCTCCCCGCAACGTCGGCGACGGCCCCGAGAACACGCTGAAAGACGTCCCAGCCGCCCGCGGCCTGGATGAAGCGTAGGTACTTTCGCAAACTCCAATTCAAACCCGCCCCGCCGTCCGCCGGCTCCGGCGTCCCAACCCACTTGTCGGTCAGGAACCCGCCCAGCAGCGTCCCGTACGCCAACACCCCGACGCTGTGCCGCGCGCACACCTCCGCCATCCGGCCCCTCGTCAGACGGCGATCGACGACGGAGCATGAGACCTGGTTCGTGGCGATGTCGTACCCCGAGTGAAGCAGCAGCTCCACGTGCGCCGCGTCGACGTTGGTCAGCCCCACGTGCGCAATCTTGCCCTGGTGTTGGAGGGTGCGTAGGTGCGCGAGGTTGCAGAGGTACGTGTCGTCCGTGTAGTCCCAGACGTGGTACTGCATGAGCGCGATCTTCGTCTGCCCCATCCTCCCGAGCGCGAGGTCGACCGCCGCCTCCGCCGTCGAGAAGGACCTGTCGCCGTTCTCGGCGGGGCACCATTTTGTCAAGGCCGTGACGGGGAGTTGAGAGGCGGCGGCGGTGGTGCGGTTGTGGTGGCCGATGACCAGCTCGGCGGGGCCGTAGTGGTCTGCCATGTCGAAGCCGTCGAGGCCGGATTGAATTCTGGCCAACAAAGGGTTCAGCCATCAGCAAGCAGCAAGCTGATGTATTTTGAAGCGTAATGATCAATCTTACAGGGGCACCATCGCCTCTGCCGCGGCAGCGACGTCAATGTTTTGGTCGTGCCCGCCGGCGAGCTGCCAGAGGCCGTTGAGGATGCGGGGTATCTCGATTGACCCCGCGATAGTCGTCCGCTCGACTTTCGGCAGCACTTTTGAAGTCATTGTTGTTAGTGTTATTTGTGTATAGGCCTCGGAATTTGGTAAGTTTTGCAAATAATTGCAGTAAGAGGGAAGCTGATCCGTGAGAAATAATCTTCAAGTGAGGGGAAGCGTTTGCTTAACAATAAAATCTGCCCAAATCTCGCTTCCCAAGCTGCAGATTGTGAGTAACATTATGCCCTGTCACATAGTGAAACTCAAGGCTCTAAAAAAGTTGAATCAAACAATTCTCATTTCAATTTTCAGGTAAGTTTGGAAAATGAGCTTATCAAATCAACCAATTTCGAGGCTCGTCGTAATCTGGCGTCACTCGTACCACAGTCCACCATGAAATATTAAAAGTTCTCAAAACTGAACAACATGACTCACTTTAGGAAGTTGCGAGGATATCTCTCCGGGAGCTGCCCAGTGATATCAGCCAGAACCTGGACAGCCGTGAGTCTCGACTGTAAACACCCAAAGTCAGTCAAAGTCATGCTGCTAATCTCTGCAAGGAGCCAACTTACGCTGGTGCGGCTCTGAGCAATGGCAACGCCGGCAAAGTAGAGATTCGGATCTGTCCAAACACACGTCAGTCAGCCTTTCTTGATCTCCAACATCAAACCCCGCCCGGAAGGAGGAGAAAACAAAAACGTACGTCCAGAAAAGGTCGTGAGTCCAGGGACTTCACCCTCTTCGTCCACACCATACATACTAACATTGACCAGCTTCCCGGCCGTCTCTTCATCAAAGAACCCACGATCCCTATACTTCTTTGGCAAGTCCATAACCTCATACCCAGTCGCCAATACCACCCCATCCGCTTCAACAACCCTCTCCTTCCCCGTCTTCTTGTCAACGACCACGACGCCCTCCTCCACGAACCCCACAGCCTCGCCCTGGGCAATCTTGATCCGCCCGCCAAACACAAAGTCAAACGTCCCCGGCTGGTCGACGTAGAACCCCTTGCCCCTATCCTCGAAAACCCTGGTCATCAGGCATGGATTCCGGTCGACTACGTACCCGAGCCCCTCCAGCGCCTTGCTCCTCGCCTCCGTCGCCGCGACCGCGGCGCCAATGGCCGCTTTGCCCATATCCCGCATGATCCCGACTGGCAGGGACTCCTGCAGGAAATCCGCCGTGTCGATGGGTACGTCGCCCTGGTACCGCATTGTGAGGATGGGCGCAATAGTCGCAAAGTCGAGGAGGACCGTCGGGCTGCGCTGGAGCAGCGTCACGCTCTCGACCTCTGGGTCCGAGGCCAGGTTCCCCGCAACGTCGTGCGCCGAGTTGCCCGACCCGACCACGACGACGCGCTTGCCCTTGTAGTCCTTCGGATTGCGGTACGCCGTCGTATGCTGGATGGGACCGTGGAAGAGCTCCCTGCCCTTGAGCTCGGGCACCCTGGGGTGTTCGTTGTCGAATATGAACCCGTTGGCAAGGAGCACGTTTCTGGCCTTGACGACCATCTCCTCCCCCGTCTTCACGTCCTTGACACGGACCGTCCAGACCTTGTCCGCCTCGCTCCACGCGTTGCTCACGACCGCAACCCCGGCAAAGAACGGCAGACGCAGCTCCTCGACCGCCGCGGAAAAGTACCTCGTGAGATCCAAGCCCGTGAGGAAGTTGGGATACCCCTCGGCGGGCACCGGGAACTGCGGCAGCTGGATCATAAAAGCCGGGTGGTGCAGCGTGACGGTCTCGTACCGTTGCGTCGACCAGTTCCCGCCGGCCTGCGCCTCGGCGTCGAACACGACGACATCGGCCCCAGCCGCATCGAGCTGGATCGCGTTGGCGATGCCGGTGCAGCTCCCGCCCACAATCACCGCGTCCAGGACGACCCCTTCCTCTCGGAGATGGGGAAGACCCTGCGCGTGCGGTTTGCCGCGCTGGGACGCCTCGATGGAAGACGGGGTCGTTCGCGGGAGATGGCTAAAAGGCTTCTCCTCGAGCTCCACCACGGCCGTGGTCAGGACGCAAATCTGCCAACCCTTGCCCTCTGGCCCGGGAATGAGCTTCGCGAGTCCGATGCACTTTGACTTGGGCGCCTCGGTCCGGAAGCTGAACGGCACGTCGAGTGTCGCAAACGTGGGCCCCAGCCGCACCCACGCGGCGTCCATCTCCAAGTCTCCATCCTTTTCTGAAGTGAACCGCGAGGGACGGCGTGTCTTTGACAGAGCCTCCCACGCCGCGACGACGTCGTCCCGCGTGTGGATCGTCCGCTTGTCGAATGTGAGAGTCAGGTGGTCCTTCCAGAAACACTGCTCGGCAAAGAGCTTTCCAAAGGTGTCCCAGTCGCCCTCGAGGACGGCGGAGGAGAAGCGCTCAAGAAAGGCCGCGGCTTCCTTTGCCGCGTTGATGTTTTCCTCTCCGTCGAGGGGTGGGACTGTGGGGATCCACGAGGGGAGGGTGCGGACTGGGACCCGGGTTCGCTGCTTTGTCTTGGTCGTCATTGTTACGGACTGAAAGTGTTGATATTTGATAGTGGGTGATTGAGTGAGTTCCACCTATGTTCAGAATCTGCATGAACCTGTTGCCGGAATCTTCATGAGCGGGAGATTGGAGCCCCTTTTATTATTTTCCAGCAGGACGCAGGGTCTGAGGGACAATTCCCTTGTATTGTGACACCACGCATACTTGAATACTTTACTTGCAGTCAGATACTCAAGAGAATGAGGGTACATTCATGAAATCCAAACAAAACCACAAAGGTTTGGTGGCCTTCTCTCACCCGTCGGTCCATCCACACGGAAATATCGGAGGTATCCCAGAAATCTTACCCGCAGCGCCCTGCAACCATTAGCGTGGGGGGGAAACGGCATTGATGGTTCGGAGCTCCTACGGGTTGCCCAATTAGGAAATCGAACGAATACTCAACCTGGACGCGTGTATCCGCGTCTAAGAGAGGACTGTCACTGGTTGAAGACCAGGACCTAGATTGCACCGTGGTACTTCAATCCGCGGCCCTCGATTTGAGAAGATATCCTCTTCCGTGAACTCAAAGGTGTCGCGCCCCTTGTGTCCTCCTCCTTTTTGCTACACATTGAATAGCAAAAAAGCGACAAGTCCTTGGACAGATGTAGGAAGTCCAGCGCAAGCAGCGACTCGGAGGAATACGCGAAGAAATCGTTCCACAGCGATGCGAAAGCTTCATTGTCTCGGCACGGGTTTCGGAACGGATTGTCTGAATACGAGCGCCGGCCTAGTGAAAAGAGTTGGAATACGACGCTGCAGACAGAAAGGCCGATCCGGAGATATCTGCAAGCCTCCGCTCCTCCGTCCGGCCTCCGGTCCCCACTCACAATTTCCAACGCGACCGGACCAATCGCCTCCGACACCTTTCCCTAGCTCGTATTTTCCCGGTCCCACGATGCCCGGCCGGATACATTAGCCCACCCTGAAACCACCAGTTCTACGCATCATCATTATCACGATGCAATCCATTTTTTGAGACGAAGACGGGGATATCCGGTAACTCCGATGGACAACGAATATCGACTGTTGACGATGCAGTAAGTGGTCTGACGAAGGTTACATGGAGCATGAAGCCTCGCATCGAAGCTAGTGAGGTATTGTAGCATGCACTTTGCCTTGAGTTCGTACCTGGCGAGAGCATTTCCGCACTATCAATGTCGATACTGAACTCAGAGACCGTGAGCCCTCTTGATGGTGGCTGCTGATTTTCATACGGCCCATTTGCACGGATTAATTGGAGGACCGGCAGATGAGAAGCATGGTAATGGGAGACATGAGATTTATGCGATTGATAGTTTGGTATCTTATACCGCGACGAGAATGTGATATGTAAGCCGAAAATGAGTGTGCGGGACACGACGTAACTACATGTACTTTATATAAGAACCATCAGCAAGAAGGACTGTAGATACCTTAGTCACCTTAGTCGAGAAGGTATCTACCTAGGTAGGTAGTAAGCGCCAGAACTTTAGGTACCTACCTACTTACTACCTTAGGTGCTTACATAAGGTGAAGCAAACTGCTTACATGAGGGGCCTTGATGGATGAAGCCAATCACCTACCAAGAGACCTTCATTGAAGTGTTGTCCACCTTGAAGATATAAAACACCAAATGACGCCATCATCACTCAGATTGCGCAGATTGATTATCGTGAGTTACATAAGCAGGGGTGCAAGGAGATGTGATTGACCTGCTGGAAATGGCCAAGTGAGGCCCCGTGCCCCCGCCTCGGCCCCATAGCAACGGACCCAATGCATCAGGCGATAAGATAAGAACCCCAGACACACCGGCCCGTATCGGCGTAGACTCATTTGCCGGGACCAATTGAAGCTTCCGGCGGGTCGCACATCCGCTCGGCTCCAGCTGCTTGTTGAATTGTTGTGCCTGTGACCGACTCGGAAGCTCCAGGTGTCTTCAACCTCCACGATTCCCCCTCCGCCTCCTTCTACCTAATTTCCCTCCCACACCACATTCCAACACGTTCTCTCTGCAACACCAAATCAGGTCTCCACAGCACAGCGCGCAATCTCGTCCACTTCAATCCCCAGGCAGCGCGCATCGCATTGGGTCAATGAACCGCTTCCTCGTGAACAACTCCAACACCGCCGTCCAAGCAACGCATCCTCTCAACGCCTCGCCCGCCATGACTAAACACACCCCCGACTCCCACCGCTCCCGCGTCTCCTCGCTCTCCCTCCGTCTCCAAGCAATGGAGCAAGCCGAAGCCCTATCGCGCTCCCAATCCCCCGCGCCGCCCTCCTCCATGTCCGCATCCATCTCCGCCTCCACCGCGGCCGCCGGCTCGGCCTCCAAGTCCTTCCTCCTCGCCGACATGAACGGCCGCTCGGCCGCCCAGAACCCCGTCTGCGAATCCTGCTGGAACACCCTCCGCTACAGTGAGGTCCGCCAGACCGTCCGCGCCGCCACCCCGGCCGCCTGTAAGCTCTGCGCCGTCGCCGCCGGCAAGCCAGAGGCCTACACCCAGCCCTTTGTCGACTTCCTCTCCGAGAACCCCACAATCTTCCACGCCGTCTCCTACTTCAAGGACAAGCTCTCCGCCGCGGGCTTCACCGAGCTCCCCGCCCGCGAGAGCTGGGCCTCGAAGCTCCAGCCCGGCGGGAAATACTGGACCACCCGTAACGGCTCCGCCCTCATCGCCTTCGCCGTCGGCCAGTCCTACAAGCCCGGCAACGGCGTCGCCATCGTCGCCGGCCACATTGACGCCCTCACCGCCAAGCTCAAGCCCGTCAGCTCCAAGCCCACCCGCGCCGGCTACCACCAGCTCGGCGTCGCCCCCTACGCCGGCGCCCTCAACCAGACCTGGTGGGACCGCGACCTCTCCATCGGCGGCCGCGTCATCGTCCGCGACGAGGCCACCAACAAGACCACCACCAAACTCGTCCGCCTCGACTGGCCCATCGCCCGCATCCCCACCCTCGCACCCCACTTTGGCGTCGGCATGATGGGCCAGAACAACCCCGAGACCCAAGCCGTGCCCATCATCGGTCTCGACTCCTCCGACGCGGACGCCGCCTCCGCCCACCCCGTCGAACCCCTCGGCCCCAAGGGCGCCTTCATCAACACCCAGCCCCCCAAGCTCGTCAAGCTCGTCTCCAAGGAACTCGGCCTCGCCTCCCCGACCGAGATTGTCAACTGGGAACTCGAGCTCTACGACTCCCAGCCCGCGCAGACGGGCGGCCTCGACCGCGAATTCATCTTTGGCGGCCGCATCGACGACAAGCTCTGCTCCTGGGCCGCCCTCACCGGCCTCCTCGCCGCCGACGCCGACCCAAAGGACGGCATCATCAAGCTCGTCGCCCTCTTTGACGACGAAGAAATCGGCTCCCTCCTTCGCCAAGGCGCCCGTGGCAACTTCCTCCCCCTCACCATTGAGCGCGCCGTCGAGGCCCTCAGCGGCCACGCCGACGTCCCCTTTGGCACCGACGTCCTCGGCCAGACCTTTGCTTCCTCCTTCCTCCTCTCCGCAGACGTCACCCACGCCGGCAACCCAAACTTCCTCGGCCTCTACCTCGACGAGCACATCCCCAAGCTCAACGTCGGCATCACAATCTGCGGCGACAGCAACGGCCACATGACCACCGACGCCATCTCCACCGCCATCCTCCAGCGCGTCGGCCAGCTCAGCGGCGCGCCCACCCAGACCTTCCAGATCCGCAACGACACCCGCAGCGGCGGCACCGTGGGCCCCATGCTCAGCGCCGCCATGGGCGTTCGCGCCGCTGACGCGGGGCTGCCGCAGCTGAGCATGCACTCCATCCGCGCCACGACGGGCGCGCTCGACCCCGGCCTGGGCGTCAAGTTCTTCAAGGGCTTCTTGGATCACTGGGAACAGGTCGATGGCGAGTGGCAGTAGATTATATGGCTGGCGTCGTTCGTGTTCGCACACCAAGGGGGCTCAGGGTTGGGGATATATATATAGAGAGAGGGAAGTGGTGGGCGAGGTGGTTCAAGCGTGGCGTACTGCGTGGGTGTCAATGGGGAAGTACGAATTACGATTGCTTGTAGATTATGTACTAGCACAATTAGACGCATCATTTTGGATACGTTCCAAGTCAAAAGATCCAGCCGGCTAACCCTCACAAAACTCTGCCGTTATGCAAGTTAATAATGCTCCAAATTCTACTCCCGAGTCGTAAGCAGACATGCAAATCCGCCCTTAATTATGATGAACCGACCTCCCTCCGCGATCATGCACAAGGCTCTTCACCTGCCGAATCTCCATCGAGTCCGCCTCGGACCCGCCCGAATGAATATCCTGCTCGTCATCCGACGCAGACCCATCGTCATCATCGCTCGCCATGCCCCCAGCCTCCTCCCGGTGTTCAGTATCCCCTTGAACCGGCTTCCTCCTCTTTTCAAAATCCTGCCTGTGCGCCTCGGCGATGATCTTGGAGAAGCTGCGCTGGATCGGCGTGATGCCGCTCATCATCCTCTGCCTCAGCGTGCCCTCCTCCGCCCGCTGGTCCGCAGCCGCCGACGGTCTGGCAGTCGTCTTGGCCGAGGCAGTAGAGCCATTGGGAGGCACCGCCTCACTCGTAGTCTCCGCGACATTGTCGTCCTTGTCAACGTCCTCGAGCGAGGTTCGCGGCGCGACGAGGGGCTCGATGCGGTACGGCAGCGGCACGTCGCGCGAGGCCTTGTACTGCGCCACGTTGGCGCAGTGCTCGTTCTCGACGCGGAAGAGGGTCCACATGCCGCGGCGGGAGACCTCGGCAAAGGCGACGAGGAAGGAGACAATGGTGGAGTGCTGCGCGTCGTGGGTGAAGAGTGCGTAAAAGATCCAGGCGAAGCGGAGGATCGGGTCGATGACCATGATGAAGTAGTAGGGCCAGCGCTTCTTAAGGGCCGTGATGTCGCGGAGGAGCCAGTGGCGGCTTTGCGGTTGGAGGAGGGAGAAGTCCATAAAGAGATCCCAGATTGCTGAGTCTGGTTAGCTTTTGCGCGAATACTGACAGGGCTCAGAGGTGATTGGGGGGGTCCCTACATGTGTAGATGGCGTTGATGGAAGAAAAGGTGATGAACATGGCCAGGTGGCCGTGGGTATTGTTTATGCGGTACATGGAGAGGGAGACGGCGGCCATGATGGACATTGTGTACTTGCCGCCGTTGACCAGATGGGGGAAAATGTTCCTGGTATCCTTGTAACGACGCAGACATTGCAGGAAACGCCAGATAGGAGGCAGAGCGCCTAGGAAACCGAGCAGCCGGGAGTGGCTTGAGTTACACTGGGTCGGATTCTCCCAAGCGTTGGCGTAGATACAGAAGAACAGTTCGACATTCTGAACAAGGTCAGCCGATAGTATGCAAAGGAAAGGCAGAATGAGGACAACTTACACACATGGCGTACGTCAAGGAACAGTAAATATCGCCAAGGAAAAAGTCTCGAAATTCAACTGGATACAGACCAGCCAACAACAGTCGCCACTATATCTGTCGTCAGATTATACATCTAGAAGAAGCCACCATAGAGCAACTTACATGGGCGTACGCGAACCACCTTCGACTTCTTGCCATGAAAATGGGCGCCGGGAGGAAGATGATGAAGACTGACAGAGCAATCAAGATCACGGGGTAGTATTCATACACCTCGTTCGTCCCGTACTCGCTAAAATTGAGCCATATGAATACTCCAAAGATGAAGGTGAACAAGCTAGGAAACTCGGCCAGCTGCCGCCAGTCGAGATTATGCCGGGTATCGAATTCAAAAATGAAGGGGTAGTTGATCTTGTTCCGCGTCCAGATGGCACAATTAAGGCAAAACATGCAGAACAGTAGCAGCATCAAGAAATATCCTCCGTAGATCTGCAAAAGGTAGCTCGTGCGTGATCGTACCTCAGCATCCTTGTCAAAAAGTAGCTGGCCGCCAAAGACCGCACCCTGGATGGCGAAAACCAGCCCCGTGCCGAGGAGAATTCCGCACCGGAAGGAACTTCCAGACTCGTCTCCGGGTCTGCGACTGAGACTTCGCAACTTGCCGGCCGCGAGCTTGTGGTTTCCACGCTCAAAGTACCGAGCGTACAGGTCTTCCACCGCCTTGATGTGACCATCGACTGCGTCACTGTTGACGAACCAAGATTTGCTGACTTTCTCATTCATGTAGCGGTACTGGGGACGGGCGTTGACGGCCTTGTCGTACTTTTTGTTCAGCTTGCGGAATGCAGTCCGGTTCAGGAGAGCATAAGACTTGAGCAATTCGAGCCCTCGGTAAAACTCTTGCAGCGCAAGCTTGAGCTTGCGTTTGGCGGTCCGATACGGAACGTCATGTTCGTGGGGTCGTCGGATGTAATCTCGTCCCGCATCACCGCCTTCTGGACGCATGACTGGGGTCTGGGCCATTTTTGAGAGAGCCTTGGAGTTTGGTCCCGGGCGGAAGATCTTTGACTTGACGGGATCGATCCAGCCAAGGGGGCCTTTCTGGGGACCGTCAGAGTCGCCATGTCCGCCATGCCCGCCCTTCAAGAAGTCAATCTCTGCCTGTTGCTTCTGGGCATGCAACTCTTGGGTCCGCCGGTTTCTCATCTCGTGCAATTGGTCCTTAAGCAAAGCCAGACGTTCTCCGGCCTGATTCTCCTTCAACTTGTAGAATGCCTCCACCTTTTCCAGTTCCGAGTCCAGAAAGTCAAAGAATTCCTTCTCCTTCTGCCGGACCAGGTCAATAGCCAGCCCCTGAAGGCCGTATTCCGGGTTGGTCCCTGCTCGGTTCAGAGGTGAGGCGTTCGAAAACAGGCGTCGAAGGCCACCTCTCGGCGAGGCATTATATCCAGGCCCGACTGTAGCAGGGTGAGGAAGTCGCAGCGATGAAGGCGTATTTTCGTGTTCGGTCGGAGGCGGCCCAGAAGAATGAGGCGCATCCGCAGCCATGGACGCGCTTCTCTGCAAAGCCTGGCGGGCTGGCTGAGCGTCTTGCGTAGAAGTTGGCTGTGGGCTGGTGCCACTATGGTGCGACGGCACACGCATTGCAGGCCCGGGCAGCTCAAAGGTTGCCTTGCGGTCCAAAGGGGTTCCGCTCTCATGATTAGGCGGTGTGTGGACGAAGCTTCCGTATTGTAAACCGCTCGAACCGTTGTTCAATCCCTGGCGTTCGTTGTGGGCGGATACAGGAATCGCTCGTGCCGGTGTCGCGGGCTTTTGTCGTGCTGAGCCGACCGGAGCCGGGCTGTGGCGGAGCGAGGTCCGCTCGTCTGGATTCCCGCCTCTCGAATACCCATGTTTCTGGCTGTTGAAGGGCGAATGGTTATGGAAGAAGTTGGCTGCGGTGCGGTTCTCGCTCTTGCTGGCGTTGTTTTGGGGGCTACCGTTGGCGCGGTTGATGGCGCGGGAAACGGCCTTGACGTATTTCTTGCCGGCCTTGTAGTTGAGATACTTGATACGCCATTCTATGAAGGTCGATTGTCAGTCAGAGTAGAAGCAGAAGCGACTGGCCCAGAAATCAAGGGCGTCCAATTGTCTCGAGGGCGGCGCGCACCTGGTACGAGGTCCTGCTCCAGCTCCTTTGCGAACTTCATGACGTAGTGGCGCCCGTTGCGCAGTGCGGTCCAAGGTACTCAAAACAGCCTTTTCCAAGCGAATGGGCAAGGCAACGCCATGTAAGCCTTGAGAGGTGTACAGAAGTTCAAAGCATGCGTTTTCCAGGGTACAGCTGAGACGTCGAATGAGTCGAGTCGCACCGCCTCGTTCAAAGGTTGGTCCTTGTTTTCGTCGATGTGATTGAGGCCGGGGGGTTTGTTTTAGTCTTGTTTTTTTCTTCTTCAAGAGCGCGCTTGGACGAAGCGTTCGCCTCTTCCACACTTCTAGTGTGCGTGCAATGTCTTCCGGCCTTCACGGGCCAGCAGCCCCGCCTTTTCTTTCGCCTGGTGTTTTTCCCTCATGTCTTATCGCTATCCGTTTCCACTAGGTAATCACTGCCGAACCACTGTCGGCTACTGTCGACACCAATCGTAGTCCAGTGTTACGGCACGTCTTCCCAGCGATAGTCGATAGCCGGCGCTGAAGGTTCCTGTAACACAGGGGCTATCCTGCTCGCATAAGGCGACGGGAAGGAAGGAAACTCAATTGACTCGGCCAGGGGCCGTGCGGCTTATGTCAGCTTGGAAAATGCGCCCGATCGATAACTTTCTTTTTACAAAGGAGATTGGTGCATATTCTGATACCCTCATGTCGACCTACCTTCCCATCACCACCGACGTTTTCTAAGATTGGATTTGACGGCTATGCAGATCAGCATTTTCTGACCACTGCTGGCCTCCAAAATCAACTAGACGCAATTGAAAAGTACCCAGTTTGCACTTGCGAACCGTACAATCCAGAGCGTCATGACGAGAACCCAGTAACAGAGTTCAAAGGGTCTAGCCGACCTAAACTCTGTTTCTCTCAGGGTCCTGAATTGCCACGCTGCCATCGCCATCTGTCACTATCCTTCCCTGGTCACATCTCGACTCAATCTGGGCCGGGACAGACAGCCTCCTGATATGTGACCTGTGCGGACCAACCAACCAAACCTCAGACAAGGGCCTGCATACATGATGCATTCATGACCCAGTCAGTCACGCCAGTGTTTTCCCAGCAGCTCTGGCCCGGGGGAGATTGTTTGACTGGCTTCATGTGAGTCCACAGCTGTGTCCAGAAACCCGTTGATCACCAATGGACTTTCTTTTTCAGGGACGTGATGAACACATGTTTATTACGGGGAGACGGGGAGAATCCAACGCCACCTCCAGTTGACGATCCTTGCTCTACTCACGGGCATCGCGGTTATAACGCAGTCAGCAGCCTGGAGAAGGGAAGACTAAACAACGACCGAGGCTTGGCCCTTTCAAACACGCACAGTTCCAACAGTGACTCAAAACGGCCCGCCTATCGCCAGCTTACAGCAAATGTACGCGTCGTTGGGCCCTCTGGACCCATTCGATCTTCTGGCCCGTTTCCCGCCCCCAGCGGTCTCCACGGTTGTCGACGCGGCCGGGCGGAGAAGTCGTCAGGGATAAATGTCGATGCCCTGCACTTCACCGTATCGGGCAGCCCGTCGACCGGGCGGCTCTCCCCCCGTTCCCCGGAGACCAGGCAGTCCTCCAAGAGCACAGAGGGAGGTGTCTGCCTGATCGAAAAGTCCATACGAGGCGGTCGCGTGGAGGGAACATGGAGGAAGTCCAGTGAGGAGAAAAGAACGCCGTCGACGGGAGGCGGGCCAATCGCCTGTTGTCTCGCACTCCTTCATGGTCGCCATGGGCAGGGCCGAGCCTTTCAACGGCGCTGCGGCGGCTCATGTGTATGCCAACGGCAAGGTGGCAATGACAGCTTGACGCCATGCAGCCTGCAGAAGCACCGGGCGTGATATCTCCAGAGCTGCTGGCTTCGAAGTTGCAGCTGCACGCAAGAGCATTTCGCGTTAAACTCGCTCAGACCCAGGAATGTCGACGGCGGCAGACATGCTTCTTCCATCCGTGAAACAAGACGCCTCGTCGCGTCCTGATCATGGGGCGGGGGATCACACTGGCGGACCCAAGACATATCTTGCCTATTCCGACGCCTCGTTCCTGAGCCAAATTGTCCCATCCAACCGCTAGTGTCATCAACTTGGTCGATTCGTCCGCCTCAGCTATCTTCGAGCTGCGAGCCTGCGAGGATAGTCGTAAAGTCGCATAGCTTCATGTTTCGGCAATAGAAGCCACGGGTGAACTTGCCCATAAGTGGGCGCAATTTGTGGGCGTGAGGGGGTTATACTGTCACGTCCCCAACTCCCCGGTGACACCAGCCACGAGTTGTTCACGAGGTCGTCGAGGCGGACACAACCGGTGATCTTTGTCTCACCGCGGGAAGCGATCCGCAACAATTCCCGCGCCAACTCACCCCCTTTCGTCAGCAAGGTATGCGATCCCTTCGCTGTGACAGCGCCTGCAGTGACAAAGATGCTGCATGGTCTCGATGTGTCCTATGGGAAAACAAGTGCGCGGTAGACGGCGGAGACTCTCCATTTGGGTACCAATCTTGTTGGATTTGGTTGGGCCGGTGGGCTGGTTGGTTGTGTCTTTTTTGTGTTGGAACTTGGGTATTTGGAGACGAGCTCCCCAATATGGCGCAAGATGGGCCCCGTGTGCCGCACACGCCGCACACGCCGCACCCAGCCAGCCCAACCCCAACTCAAGGGAGGGCCGGTTACACGAAGAGGGTGGGCTCTTTCTTCGAGGGAGGCCTGGTCAATCTTTTCTTATCCTTGCTTTCCATGTATGAATCGGCGCATATTTCTTTGTGGAGGTGAAGAGATGAGCGGGCAGGCGTGCGAAAGCGTGTTTATTCCTTTTTCTCTCTGCAACCCCCCCGGCGAGTTTGCTCGGATTCCCAGAGCTGTAACTCTGGTTGGACGAAGGCGAGAACTTCTTTACCAAGTTACCGGGACGGTTGAACATTCCACAGCCTTGATTGGTTGCATACGCTTGAATCGAGGCGGAAGTAGGTATCCGAGACACTGCGAAGCAGATAACTCATCTATATCAAGTCTGGCTTCCCTCGTTGGGTTCCCTTGGGGGTACCTACCCTTGCCTTGCCTGCTCTACTGCATTTTTTTTTGCGTCTCTTCCCACCTTCTTGTCGAGGATCGAGACACTCTAAACGACGACGACCTTATCTGATGGCTCAGCTCCACACTGTGCATGAGACAATCGACATGACGCCCGAGAACGGTATCTTGAGTCTGGATGAGGCTGTGAGTCGGCCGAGTCTATTACACAGGGCCTCTAAGAAGTGCCTACGGGTCCTCAGAAAAGCCTCCGTGAGGGAAATGACACGGCCTGACGACAAGTCGAGTATCAGCGGAAGGTCCTCGGCCAGCAGGTCTTCGTTCAGGTCTTCTTTCTCAAAATCGTCTCTATTCACGACAAGAACGGTAGAGGAGGATGATTACATGGCCCTAGACCAACCCCTCACTGAAGAGCCCATTAAAGAAGAAGCCGGCAGCGATGGAAACACCATGAGCGAAGAACCCAATAACGAAGAGTTTACGCAACAACGCAGTTCTGTGGAGCCGAGGAAGGAACATCACCAAGGCCAGTCGAGCTTCTTTCGGCAGATGCCTCCTGAAATTCGGCATCAGATTTACCAGCACTTCTGGGTCTCGGCAGGGGTCCAACGACACGCCTTTCTGAGTGACAGGAAACTCTTATTCTCTCCCTGCGTCACAGACCATGAGGCGCCTGACGAACGACAGATAGGGGTTGCCAAAGATTTTGAAACGTCTTCTTCTACAGCGGAAGTTCAGCCCCATCCGAAATGGTTCAAGAGAATGACATCCCCATGGTGTAACCACTGGAAATGCGAAAGGCTATGGGAGGACATCAGAGACGGACGCGAAATAGACGGGAACAAGAAGCAGGCTTACATGTCTCTTCTCCTTTCCTGCAAGCGGATGTAAGCTGCTTTCCCCCTTTAAATAATCCGCCGAGCAACTCTCTGACGATTATTTCTCCCATCAGATATAACGAAAGTGTAGAATCTTTCAGAGACGCCCAAACCCTCACCATAACCGACGGCCAAACCCTCCACCGTATCCTCCGCTGGCCGCGCCCCAAATACCTCAATCAGGCGCGCCGTTTCAACATCTCCCTCCGCGAGGACAGCGGCAACTTCCTCTATCTCAACGGCGCCTCCCTGTGGCACACACTCTCCGACCCGGACTCGTGCCCCGCCGAACGCATCTACCTCTGGCTGGACGCCGAGTGCCCCGTCACGCGCCGTCTGCTGCCCGAGTTTCGCGAGCTGTTCAGCAGCGTGCCGAATGCCGTTGCGCCCCGGCTAACAATCGACTTCCCCTGCGACGCCGAGGACGGGTTCTGGGCCTGGGAGGAGGTCGACGTCGAGGGACCGCACGGAGACGTCAAGAGGTTGGCGCCGTTGGTGCCCAAGTTTACGGTCGTTGCGAGGGGGAGGCAGAGGTTTAATGAGACTTCGTCGGGGTATGTTAGTAGTGTTGATAGGGGGAGGCCGAGACGGAGGCTTTTGAGGTCGAGTAATCCGTTTGAGGATATCCTGTTGTATGGGAGAGGATTTGTCGATGGTTCATACGTCTAGGGAAATTTTTCATCACAAGCTTCGGCCTGGCACAGTAGGAATCGCTAAGAGTTGCTGTGATCGAAATCACTACGTACAAAATCTGCTCGACGGATATTTTGGATCGTATTTCGGCAGTCATTCAGCTTGTGGCTGAACCCCCTCAGTCTCCAAAGGCTTCCTCCCGTAGATGGACCAACTTCGCGAGTTAGCTTAACAATAAACTTTGTAGCAGAGATTTCCTTACATGTTGTAGTAAGCATGGATGTTCCTGTTACCAAAGTCCTTTCGAGCCTCCATGGCGAGTACGAGAACCTCGTCTTTAGTCCAGCCCAAGGCTCGGGTCAACGGCGCCATCAGGAAACCCTCCCAATTAGGGGCCAAGTTCTCATAGTTCCAGATACCAATCTCCTTATGCTTTTGATCCTTGGGCCATCCGTTGGTAGGCCACTTGAACCGCTGGATGTGGACGTCTTCAAACCCAATGTCCTTCAGAACGCTTTCGAAGCGGCTGAATTCCTCAAAGGGGGAGCCGAATTTAGCGAGCCCTTCAGACCAGAGACGAACGCTCTTCATCAACGAAGTCTCCTCCGTCAAGGTCCCGTCGTCGGAGACGGGGACGGCGTCAATGTCATTGAGTTCGAGATAGCCGCCAGGGTTGAGGTTGCTAACTTGATTCAGCGTATGTATGCAATGGTTCAAGAAAGGAACGGGACCAACTCGAAGCATTTCTGGAGATATCGCTTCCAGTTGCTGATGCTACCTGTCATCATCCGACTGTGGATATAATCAAAGGGCTTTGAAAAGGTCCAAGGCTCCTCAATGTCGTCGATTTCGAATCGGACATTTGGCGGGACACTGGATACAGAACGGTTAACTAAGGGGAAATCTTGTGGCGAGATGAATGTTTTCTCGTACAATGCGGGCTGTACAGCCGATAAATCAACACCGACAACCTTTGCCCAAGTTAGGTTGTGAAACTTGACCCTCCATGATTACGTACCTCGGCCTCGGGGTGTTCGTCGCCAAAGTCAATAGCCCATATGCCAGATCCAGTGCCGACATCAAGAGCTCTGCCGACCTTTGCGTCTCGATTGTTTGGTGGCGCAGTGCCAAGTCGATCATCAAAGGTTCGGATAAACAGGTTGTGCTGAAGGTCTATATTATTCAAATCAGTCTTCTCTTCTTGACAATAGGCGTATGCTATGGTGCCGTGGTTGACTGGGTAGATGACATACCGAGGCGATCATTCTCTTTCTCATCGTTGGGGGCGGCGTATTCTGACATGGTTAGTGGTGTTCCATTATTATTCAGTCATGCGATGAACTTGAACTTACTGCCGTCCTTGTATTTGTGGTAGGTCCGTCCGTTCTCGATGCGATATTCTAGAATGGAGCTCGTCACGCTCGTGGTAGACGAAGCGAGGCTTGACTGTTGGGATATGGGTGAGTTCATTGGAAAGTGCCCTATGCATCGGTGGTGAGGCATCAAGCCTGCTTACATGGCTCACCGACGAGCCGTCGGTTTCAGTCTGAAAGAGGGTACCAGGGTCTCAGTACGTAGAATTTCACGGTTTCTCGGACATTCGATGTGAGATCATACCTCATCAACCGCAAGATGATCATTGTTTTGGGTAGCCATGGTTTGCTACACTAGAAACGAGATCGTTAGGCGCAATGAGATCTGGCGAAATGGGCCTTCTTTTCGCGTCGAAGAGGATCGTGGGTTTCCAATGCAAATGCGGGCGGAGAATGCGCTGAAAACGGGGAAGTGCAAGAGCATCGGGTCATTCGGCAACCCATCCCTTTTGAGGGACCGTTTTCGCTTTTCCATTACACCCCTCTTTTCGCCAAGGTAGACAAGAAAACGTATGCTGGATGTGATGCCGCGGTTGGTTCTGCATTAACACTCCTGCAGCAGGGAATGTCTGCATGCGACAGTGGGCGGCTACGTAGCGTGATTCCAATTGCTTACTGTCGGGTGCTCGTGGTCTGACAATGCCATTTTGAAGGAGGATGATGGATTATTCCTTTTCTGAGTTTTCTCTGTTGGGCTCATAACGCTCTCTTCTATCCTTTTCTCGTCTGCTCAAAACGTCACTGATTAAACACAGCGACATCTCCCGCCCAGCGCTTATACCCAAACAAACAAATCAAATATAAAGTTCGTATTTAATTATTTACCTCATTTCTCGCGCTATATTTAATTATTTAATAAATAATTAATAAATTTAACTAATTTCTTAATTAAAAATAAATAAAGCTATTATAAAAGTCTTTATAATATTAACTTATAAACTTTATTTTGATTAGTTTTTTTAATTAAAGAATTAACTTTTTATTTTTATAATACCGCCGTAAAATTAATTTTTAAAATATTAAACTTTTTTTAATATAAAAAACCTTATTAATAATTATTATAAAGTTAAAATTAACTTTATAAAGTTAAATATCTTTTCGTAATTTATTATTATTATAAAAATTATAAAAATATTAAACGTAAGTTTATTTAAAATTAAATAGGTTAATTAATAATTAATTTATTATTAAATTAAATTAAGGATTAGTTAAAAGATAATTTATAAATAATATTAATTAAGCTTAAATATATAATTAATTATTATTTTTATTATTTAAAATATTAATTATTATCGATATTACGAATTTTTTATAATACTTTTTAAAATCGTAAAGGTAATAAAAATAGTTTATAATTATTATAATAAAAAAAAAGAAAAGGACTTACTATTTTATTTATATATTATTTTTATTAATAATTATAAAGCTTTTTTTTTATATTGAATAATTAATAGTTTTATTTAAATATATATATATATATATTTTTTTAACTATTTTAATTTTTGTTTAAAATAAAAAATAATTATTATAATATAAAACGGAAAATCGTTTAATTTAATATAATACTTATTAAAAACTTATTAAATATTAATAATTAATAATTAAAAATATCCTCGTAAATTAAAATTACTATTAAAAAATAGCTCCGCTTATTCCTTAAATATATATTTAAATTAAATAAAACAAAAGATATTATTTAATATTAAAAATTAAAAAAAAGTTAAAATATAAATTAATAATAAGCTAACCGCCGATAAAATAATATTATTTATATTAATTATAATTATAACGTTACGATTTAAAAAACCGTAAAATATATCTTTTTTTTAAAAGGTTTATTATATAACTTTTTTTATTTTTTAAAATAATTAATAAAATATTTAAAATTTATTATTATTTTTTATAAACGGCTATAGCCGTTTTTTTTACTTTAATTTTAATATTTTATTATTTAAAAATAAAATAGTTTAAATACCGCTTTTAGCTCGGTTAATAACTATTAATTATTATTATTAAAAACGTTATTAATAAAGATCTATTATTTTAGATCTTTATAAACTTAAACTTAATTAGTTATTAAAAAAATATAAATTTATTTTCTTTTTTATAAAAAACGCTATATTATAAAATATATCGAATTTTATTTTATATTATTATTAAACGTTAATATAAGCTTTTATAACGACTTTTTAAAAAAAATAAATATATCGTTTTTATTAATTTTATTATTAATTTTAAAAAAGGCTTTATATTATTAAAACGATAAGTAGATAAATTTAATAACGTTTTAAAGTTTATTAATAAGGCCTTTAATATATTAAAAATTAAGATTTTTTTAAAATTACTTAACGTTAATTAATATATTTAATTTTTATTTAAATACCTTTTTATTATTACTAAATAAAAAAGCCTTATTAACGAGGTTAAAAATATAATTATAATACCTAATCTTTTAATTAAAAACGTCTTTTTAAATATAAATATAAAATAATATAAGATATAAATAACCTAAATAAATATTATTATTTAAAATATTATCGTAAATAATTACTCCGATTTAATCGCCTAATTCCTAATCATTTATTATAAATTTTATAATTTAAATAATATTAGCCTTATTATAAATATTATATTAACGTCGTAAAATAATAAAGTATTATATTTATTATTTAATATAATTTAAAAAGTAAATAAAAATAGCGATAATAATATTTCGTATTAATAAAATCTATAAATCGAATAATAAATAGACTTTCGTTATTAACTTCTAAATTTTTATTTTAATTATATTTTTTTTTAATAAAAATCTTATTTAACTCTTTTTTTATATTTTTATATAATAATAAAAATTCGTTAATAATATTATAATTTAATTAATAAAAAAAGGCCTAGAAATAAGGATTTTAAAAAGTTATAAATAGGTTATTATTATTAATAATATATTTAATTATTAACTCCTCGATTTTCGTTATTTAATTCTTTATAATAATAATAAAAATAAATTTTGAATATAAAATCGTATTTTAAAGATTTTAATAAATATTAATAACTTACTAAAATTTAAATTTATTATTTAATATTTTAATTTTAAATAAGCCGTTACTAAATTTATAATTATTATTTTAAAATAAATAATAATATTTATTTTATTATAATAACGATAAAATTAAAAAACTTTATTTTAATTATTTTTATTATAAATTTTTTAAATAAAGACTTTTTTTAAACGGATTTATAATTTCCTTAGTTTTACGCTTTTTCATAATATTAAATCGTTATTTTTAAAAGTCTTTTTTTTTTAAATTATTTTTAAAAAGGTAAAAAGGTTATTATAAATATTAAAGTCGGTTAATAATATAAAATTAGCGTTTATTAAAACTTATAAATATAAAATAATTTAAAACGGTTATAATATATTAAAAATCGTGCGATTTATTATTAATTAATTAATTATAATATAATAAATCGATTAATATATAATTTAATTAATTTTAATAATAATTATAATAATCGTAAAAAATTAAAAATAATAATACGTAACTTCGTTAGTTTTATTAATATTAAAAAAAAGGGGTATTAATTAATTAAAAAGGTTTTTTTAAATCTTATATATTAAAACATATTAAATTTAATATTATATATTATTTAAGCTTTTTTTTTATTAATAATTATTAATAATATTCTATATAATTAAATAATATAATACCTTATTTATAATTATAAATAAAAAGTCGTAAATTTAAATCTTATTATAAAAGTTTATATTATTTATAATAAACTTAGCGATTTATTTAAATAATATATATTTTTAATTAACTTAGCCTCGGATTTTCTTTTTTTTTAACGATTTTTATTTAATTAAATAGGTTAAATATAAAGCTTTATGATATTTAATTATTTAATTCGCTAAAATCTTTATATTTAATTGTTTATTTGACTTATTTGTTTAATTAATTTGAATGGGTAGGTGCGCTGCTCCCGCCTCAAGTACCGGCTCCTATTGAGCGCATTTTTTTCGGAGCCAACATTCCATAAGAATACCTTATGAGCACTTAACTATTATAATGAAGGTTACCGGACTTGAACAAAGAATAATTGTGGGGGAAACGGTTGATGGTCAACTACAATATGGCTCATGCAAGATTCTACTATAGTACGTTCGGTCCCATAGATTGGCTTGACAAAGGCTTCGTGCACCATCAGCTATCCATGGCGACTGGCCCGAAATGAAGCATTGAGGCAATTGTCATGTTGCATTTTACAACCTCTTGGTAAGGGTCAAGGCAACTACGAAGGTAGATCCTATAAGTATTGGAAGGAACTGCAAAAACACACAGTTTGGTTTTTGCTGATTGGTACTGTGGAACGAATTGGATGTAATATGTCTCATGACGGAGGAAAGAGACCATGTAGGAAGTGGTTCTGATAGAAATGATTCCATGAGGCAATCGAAACACCTCGAGGCTGGAAATCTTACGCCGCCACACTAATACTGTACCGATAGGTCTCCCAGAAGCCGGAGTTTGCGTCATTAGTTCTGAGTACCGTATTACAACTGTGAAAGTCTGCGGCCAAAAGCCCGTATCTCTCGATGAAAGCCACATCGACGGAGCCTATGCATGCTTATTACACATTCCGATAGCCTGGTTCCAATTTGCCTGCTCATGATATTTGCTGGCCGTCTTCTCCTCCAACAGAAACCAAGAAGATTACTAGGATCACATTGCCGCCCGTCTGGTGTCGAAATAGTGTAAGCGATCTCTCGAAGAATTCGGAAGTGACCATAAGAGATCTGATGGCTCGAAGAGAAGTGGCGCGACAATATTCACTTTGGCGGCCTGTTAAAGAAGGATCTGCACAAACGATGGTTCAGCGGCGACGTCTTCGAGTGATTGAAGAGTCTTGTCAAAATCCAACTCACCAAGACAGAGAAGCGATATCTCTATAAGGAAGACCTCTCCGCAATCTTCTTGCGAGACGGATGGGATTGAGGTCAGTTCAGGGGCAAGATCGATGCCGTTGCGACCGCCGGAATCAAGATAGCGACGTCTTCCGGGTTTGCCATCATCACGACATCCAATTCCGAGACTGGCCTGGATGTCAGCAAGCCTGTTTTGCCTTTCGCCAACAAGATATGTTTTTATAAGTCTTTTTACGCCGACTTTGTCATTACTTCTAGATCTTATGAGGTTTTTGACGCGTATCTAATGACCTTTGTAAGAAAGCATGAATGCTGTGTCCACCCGCGATGCTATTATGACACTGCATGGGGACTCCTAAGCGCTCAGCATTGCTCCCATCTATTTCCAGGTCGAAAAGGTCCACGATATCTTTGGGAAAGGCAGCAATGTTGGCGGCAACTTCGCGGCTACTCTGGATCTTCTTCATAGGCTTCCCGTTGACGGATGGCAAGTCAGCGGTATATTCAAGTCTCATACTGATTTGGCGGCGACTGATGTGCTATCCTGCAAAGTCATCTCGAAACTGAGGCAAAGACTCTGGCTGCTTGTAATGCTGATGGTCTCAAAAGCGCCCTCGTCCGATGAGTGGGTTGATTCATTCCGAATGAAGCCGTTCCATGACTTTCTCAGTCAGTGCTTTGATCGTAGCCGTTGCGATTACATTTTAACAAAGTCTTCGTGAGTTGTGTGAGGAAGCGAAGCGGTTGCCTCGCTGGGAGGGATGGGCTAGAGACGTCCCTCGGAGGAGGGGCGGGGTTGCACTGCTGACTAAGAATTGCGACTAAGAGTTGCCATAGCCCTGGTGCCAGCGCCTTGATTATCCTCGCCAAGAAAGTCCATGAATCTCCGATGCTTCTCTGATAAGATCCAAGCTTCCTTCCTACAACACCTGCTTCCATGTAACGATAAGCCCATTTAAAACACCACCACTAGATCATCCATCCAATCAGTTAAGATTGGAGATTCATCGAAGCGCAAGCTGTCTCAACAAAGCAGATGCAGGGCTAGGGACTCTCGCACTTCAGTTTCAACTCCATATTCGATCATTCGGTCACAACATGCGAACCCCGGGAGCAGCGTGTATTGAATGTGTTCGGACCAAAAGAAAGGTTCGGCCAGGCCAAACATCTGCACTAGATGTCCATGCTCCAAACGAAATACAATACTGAGACTGAATGTAGTGCGACCGACAAAAGCCAAATTGCGCGCGATGTGCGAGACGCGGCATCCACTGCCAGCAACAAGACTTCAAGATCTGGAGGGTCAGCACACACCAGAAGAAAATCAACGACCATCCCAGGACTCGCACTAGAAGTATTGCCACATCTATCAGAACAGATCTATCCAATAACACAGACTCAAATGAAGATGAGACAAGACACATGCAATCATCCTCACAATCTATAAACGACAAGGTTCAACATGGGGCAATCATCGCCAGCGAGAATGCCGAGCTTACATGCGAAAATACTACAAAATCAGCAACGAACGATAATGACGCTAAAAGGCATCCAAGACGTCAGGTTCCGGCTTCACCTGTTGCACTACATCCGAAAACGTCTAGTACACCACTCCAAGTTCCATTATCCATTTCGACCTTGCCATCCGATGTTCAAGCAAATCCAGACAAGATAATCCTATGGCAATATTTCATCACGGTATCGTGCCATCAGTTCCAGTGCTGGGACGGAGATCCAACCAAAGATTTCCACGACCCACTGGGGTCGCTTTTATCGTCGATGGCAGCCTTCGATGGCCCTATGAGATTGGCTGCACTTGCATTTTCGGCAGCAGCATATCAGAAGATCAGGCCAACGAACGAGTCGAGGGTTTCCACCACTCTTTTGAAACACAACGCTCTACTCGCCTTATCATCGAGTCATCGTACTAGCTCTATCAGCGCGGAAGATTTGCTTTCTTCAATGGCAGCGTGTTTGTTGCTCTTCCGAGTCAGCAGAGCGGGCGAGTCCTCAGACCAGGGATTATTGTCGCTAGCCAATAGTGCTTTTTCATGCTTGCAGACTCCAGAATTTCGGCTGCATCGACATGACAACCGGCTCAAGGCCTTGACGGCACTACTCAAGTGGACAGATATATGCAGTCTTGTCTCGCTTCATTCGAATGAATCCAGTGAACTGGCCTCCTCCATCGACATGGTCATGTACGAGGAGGAAGTCACCAACTTTTCGGATGATTTCCGGGATTGGATCACACATCCCATCTACACATTTTCACGCCATCTGATCAGCCCCCTTCTGCGCATGGGAAGACTCCTTCAACACACACGGCAATCGATGTCATGGCCAGATCAGATGAAGGCCGAGGCAGCAGCTTTGGAGGAAGAACTTCTTCAGTGTTACGACCGCGACGTTGAGGCCAACAGAGGTCCCATCAAAGACACCGCGGACGTTTTACACGTCAACGAGGCTATGCATGCGGCAGCGCTCATCATGTTTTATACCAGGATCATGGACATGCCCTTCACTACGCCGCTCATCAGACGAAACGTTGACAAAGTCCAGCGGGAAGCCTCCTTTATAGCACCCAGCTCGCTTTCGAGCCGTGCCATTATATTTCCCCTCTTTATCGCTGGCTGTGAGGCGGTCGACGGCAGAGTTCGGGAATTGATTGCTCAGCGCATTCTTGGAAGCAATTATTGTAGCGAGCTCGAGCCGTCCAAGGTTGTCAGTCACCTATCCCAGATATGGAGCGTTCGCGATCAGAGCCCAGGACTTACGTGGTTGGAGTGGTCGCAGCAAGGTCAGTCATCCCATGGTGCCAAAGTCCATCATTTGCTAATAGTGATGCAGCGGATGCATCATTGGAACCATTCATTGTATTCTGAGAATATGTTGTCTACTTAATTAGCCGTGCCATTTTACGTCATACCTAGGATCCTTGCGCGTCGGATAAAGGACAGATAAAAGACAGTTAGAATTCATCTAGTGTTTAATCCTGAACGAGATACTACGAGACCGGCATTGACACCATGCAAACACAACATCATAGGCAATCCTCTTGAAGATTATCATCGCTCTTCATGATTCCTATATTGGTCAAAGGTGCATGTACACATGTTTCTAGCCGTAATAACTGGAAGAAGTCCACCACAACGCAAACTCTGGGTGTCTTCCGAATCCAACGGTTTACTGACAAGCGATGCTCAGATCAGTGGCATCTTCAGGTTGTTCCCAGGGAATGAAATCAACCTTGCAGCACATCCCTCGGGGCCGCGAGGTAAGGACTTGATCATCCATATCCATGCTTGACACCATGTCTGTAGATGGCCGTGTTCGGTATTTAGAGTAGACTGCGTTGAGATTGGCCCTTATCTCGGCCATGGCGAGGCTGAAATAAAAACGGATCAACATGGCGTTATCTAAGCAGGAATACTCAATACTCACTGTTTCCCAATGCATGTCCGAGCCCCCAGGCCAAACGCAAAAAATTGCCGTTGTCTCTCAGTATTCATGTTGCCACCATGAGCCATCCATCGATCAGGGTTGAACTCATCAGCGTCAGGGAAGATGATCTTGTCCAGGCGGTGCATGCTGTACGAAGTACATCCCACTATCGTATTTTCAGGGAGGTAGTAGCCGTCAATGTGCGTGCCCTTCTTGGGCACATAGCGCGGCAAGGGCAAGGTTCCTGGCGCCCACAGCCGAAGAGCCTCTTGCACGACAGCGCCAAGATACGGCAGGGTATCAAGGTTTGTTCCGGGGACGGCTCCGACGAGTTCCTCGTGGAGTCTTGTCACCTTGTCGTGGTGCTTTGGCTGCGAAAGCTCCCAAATCAGCCAGCACAGCGTGTCGCCCGTCGTCTCGATGCCGGCGCCGATGTGGTCCAGGCACTCAGCCTCGGCCAAGGCCGTGTCAAAGGTTTTTGATTCTAGAAGCCGTGCTGCAAGTGTAAAATCCGCGTACCCACCTCGATTCATTGCCTGACGAACATAGTTCTCAATCGTGGAGCCTCCTTTGGGTGTGTTTCTCGACGTCGGTGCAAAGGCTGCCCAAAGACGCGCGACGAGCGGGGAGTAATAAGTCAGGAAGAGTCCTACCGTGTCTTTCGTTAGTGTGGCGCTTAGTGCAGTGGCATATTTGGAGACTTACTCTCTCTGCTGTTGGAATATGACAGCAAGCGAACCATTTGCATGTCTTTGCCGCCTGATAAAGATTCAGTTCCGTAAGGGTAGAACAACATGGCAGTGACACAATCTAGCGCGTAGGCGTGAAGATAAAGCTGACATTGTCAGTATGATAGGCTTCGCTTGTCATTTGACGATGACAACTCAACAAGTAGATTGACTCACATATATATCAGCCGATGGTTTTGCAGCACATGCTTGTGTAAATACTTCCGCCCGTTCGGCTATGGCGTCCATGACCTTCGACCTCAGAATGTTGGAGTTTGAGTATCGATCTGCGATGCTCCGCCGGATCTCGCTATGCTTTTTGGGGGCCATGATTAGCCGAATTGTGCATAAAAAGCACATGATCATATCGATGCCAAAAGATCAACACACCTTTTCAGGGTCTAATGCTGTGAACAGATTACTGTGCATTCAAGTCAGCTCGAAACTAGGCATTTTGGATTAAATACAGACAAGTTTGGGGGTGCTGTTACATGTGGCCGTCTTGTTCAAAGAGCGAGTAAAGCTCCGTTTTCCGGAATTCCTTGTTTCCGGAGCTGTAAATGTGTTTTGCTGAAGTGTAACTGGCGAATGATACTTCGTTTCGGCCCAGTTGGACCACGGGGCCGTATTTGAGATGAAGAGCATGGGTCCACCCTCTTTTATGTCCCATGAACTCGTGGTACTTGACAAAGATACTCGTCAACTTCAAGTACCAAGGGCCTGGTACTTTGATCATGGCAGAAAGATGAAGTCTTTGAAACCATAGTATTAGAACACCCAAGACAAATAGATCGATGATAAGCCATCTACCGATGGGCACATCTTGGTAGACAAGAGATGAAATTGTGGTTGAATCAAGCATGGCGACGACCTAGGGACACAGGAAAGTGTTGATGAGCTTGATAATGATGCGTTGTGTGAGCCTCTTCAGGAAATATCGGCTATGATAGTTCTTGAACTGTAAGATTCAGGTGCGACTATCTATACGAAAAACACAACAGCACGAAAAGGATACATCCCGTCAACGGCTGGGTCCAGTAAGCGCGGGCTGGAGGGAGCGGGCAGAGCAACACCAAGGGTGGGAGACATAAGCAAACCTACGCTAAACCGTCCGTAGGTGGCTTTTCCGCATCGACGCTAATCTCATATTTCGGGCTCCACGGATATGTCATATTGATGTGAAATACCTACTGACGAGAGCAGCAAGTCATGGCCTTGCAGTTTACCGCGATGCATCTTGAATGCCGCTTCGAGGAATCCCTCCGCCGTCCAGAGTGGAGAATAAAGAGCAAAGAGGATTCTCTGCATGACCCCGCAGGATCGTTCCCCGCCTGTTGATTGATCTGGATTAAGAGAGGCTAACTGCATATGGCAATTTTTCCACTCACTCTACTTCACTTTTCGCTGCCACGATATGACGCGATGACAAGTAGCTTACTGTTCTGTTCTTAGAGGCAGGCGGGTTTGGAAGCATTCAATGACTGGTGAAGATTCGGTTGAATGTATTGTAGTTGTACGCGGATGGTTTGAGTTTCAGTTGCAGATGAGGCATGTGATCTATGCCGTCTTATCAATGCACTCCTGATAAACAATGAATCAGTCTCCTCGTGTTTTGTACAATGGAGCGTGGCATGTTTCCAGAACAATCCACGACGACGTGATGGACAAGTCGTTCACGAGTGCTTCTTGCGCTTGTCACTGCGATGAGACAACAGCAGGCGGCGCAACGACTCGTTTCCGCAGTTTACTTCCTCGCAAAAGCCCCACGGACTTTGCATCATCGTCTTCCTCAAGTTTCCGAAGCCTTTCGACCGTGTCAAAGGAGGTCGAGGGCCACCATGCAGCCTCGAACAAATTTTGTGTTCTTTCGGCGCAGGCCTCGAAGCCGGACATAAGCCAAAGTTACTATAGTCAGTCACGTTGTCGTCTATTGTTGAACAGATGGGTTCGATCAGCGTAACGGCACTGAGCAATAGTCCAGCGGCTTCCACGATGCGGGGAAAGCTTCCCCATTGACACCTGCCGAACTCATTCAATACCCACTATAAGAAACTGGGTTTGGTCCTATTACTAAAGTCTACAGATAATCTCCTTAACATTTCAATTGCAGAATGGAGATACTACGCGAATATATCGAAGCCATGATCTTGCGAGGCATTGAGGGACGGTTCACGAACTGAAATTCTGAACTTCGTAGTTGAAGGGAATTGTGACGCGCTCAATTCCGCATTCGGCTTGATTCCCGAATTCTTGTTTGCTAAGCGAATGATACGAGCACTGCCTTGCGGAGCTCCGTCGGCGTTAACACGTTTAATCATTTCTTACGCCCGATGCCTGTGTCACCATCGGTGAGTACCCGATTGTCTGTCTGACCTAACGTAGGCTCGGAATCTTGGACTTTCCCCCTCCGACTTTCCGCTCATCGCGGGTCTTGATTCCGATCTCTGCACAAAAGAACTTTGGCGGCGTGTATTGGCCAGCTGTGTATATACCACTTTGCTGGACAGCCTCCAAGGGCCTGGCTGCTTCTCACTTTAGATGACATAGATGTGATGGAGATCATTGCGGAGCAGAGCCGTGCGATGAAGATTCTGAAGAAACCGCACAGGAAGTCCAGACTTGGATGCCACACATGCAAAAAACGAAAAATCAAGGTCCGTCTGACGAGAAACCTCTGCATATCATCTCCTGTCGTTGCCCAATGTTCAGCAATCACCCGCGCCTCGTACCCGGCCCAGGATCTGCAACAAGCTGTGTGCAGTCTGGCAACATTGTGGCACCATTCAAGCAGTTCCTTTCCTCTGTTACACTAGCTGACATCTGCCTCCCAATAAGTGTGACGAACTGAAGCCAGCATGTCAAAATTGCGTGCGCCACCTGGTGACATGCGACTTTGCGCAGGGCCACTCGATGCCGGTGTCGATGACCAGCATGCAAATCACCTTGCAAACAACCGTCGACACCGTAAACATAGGTGACTTAGTAGCGTCCACTCGATCAATACCGGCTATTGACAAAGACCTCAACTTTGTCGACTTGGAGCTTATTCACAACTTCACTACCTCCGTCTACATGACACTATCAACAGACGACCTCGTCCGCCAGATGTGGCAAGTCTCGGTAGTGCGCATGGCGCTGAAATGCGAATATGTCATGCGAACTCTACTCTCTATATCAGCCCTACATCTGGCCCATGAACGGCCGGAACGCAAGGAGGCTCTCGTGTCCAAGGCCCTGCTTTACCATCGATTAGCTTCAAGAGAAGCAATGCAGTTGATGAGTACTCTCGACGAACGAAATGCTGAGAACTTGTTCTTGTTTTCTCTTCTCACAATTTTCTTCGGTGAGTGAAGTAGTCCTTGTACATTCTCATTGACATGAAGCCATGAAATTCTTTCAGTGTCTTATGGCTCTTGCTCTCTGAAGCCTCCTCATCACTTCCTGACTGCGTTTGAGTAACATACTGACCTGCACACTTCAGCTCTTGCATCAGGCCGTTACCTAAAGGAATCAGTCGTGGTATGGGAATCTGCGTTCCCGGACTGGACATTTCTTCTTTCAGGAGCTTGCTCCCTCATCAAACTCCTCAACTCAAAGAACTACGAAGGCCCACTGACACCTCTGTTGACATATGCAAAGGAGCGGTTTTTTACCGCGCGTGACGACTCAAGAGCTCAACCGACCGCATTGAAGAGCCTCCGAAAACGCGTTAGCGGGAGCAATGTCAATAAAGACTTGTTACGCATCTATAATATGGCAATAGACGAGCTGGGCCCCCCTCTATCTCTTGCTCTGCATGACGAAGGTCGTGGTATGGACATCATGGATATGTTCATCTGGAAATATTTCGTCTCGGACGAGTTCCTACCCTTGTTGAAAGAGCCGAGGGCGAACCAAGAGGCCATTGTCATTTACGCGCATTTTTGCATCGTGCTTAAGAGATTGGAGAGTCAATGGTGGCTTCAAGGGTGGTCGATTCATCTTATATCACAAGCGTGGGAGTTGCTGGACGAGAGTCACAAGTCATGGATTCAGTGGCCGATGGAGGAGCTAGGATGGGCGCCCCCGAGTCAGAAGGTTGTGCCATGAATCAAGTAACGTGGAAGACAAATCTTGACCAATCGCTCCTTCTATTTTCTTCTTGCCTTTCTGGAAACAAATAGGTTTTCAACTTTGGACCAATGCCCGTATCCAGTCAGGTCGCTGTACTTGGACCGCCACCGTACTAATTCAAAGTACGAATTAAGTGGCTCTCACATATGACGTCAAACGACTTCACCTCATCAAGGATCTAGTGTTCCATGTCTAGAAGACAGATAATATTATGCCATGAGTCTAGGTTCTCTTGCAGCACAAGGATTGTCAATTCAAATTATTTACTAGTAATATCTAGGTTTGCAAATTATAGTTGAATTAAGACATCGCTCAAGCTACTAGCCAACAAGTTAGGCGCGGTAGTTGTTCCAGAAGCTCAGCATGCGCGTCTGCTGGCCAGAGGTGAACTCCTCGTAGCAAGAGCTATTGATATGTCAGCAGGCATCACGAATGATTCCAAGGGGACTGCTTACTCATAGGAGTAGTCCATGTAATTGTGGATGGGGTCAAGGCCGGTGATGCTGGGGCAAGAGTCGCGGCCGACCGGGCATCCGGAAGAAGCGCTCGCCTGTGCAGGGGTATCCGCAACGGAGTCTCCACCGTTGCAACCTCCCTGGAAGGTGTGGTACAGACCGAACCAGTGACCAATCTCGTGGGTGGCGGTCTTTCCGAGGTTGTAGTTGGTGCTGCTTCCGCCGGGAACCGTGGACGACAGGATGGTGCAGCCGTCGGCAATGAAAGCAGAGGAGCCGGGGGAGGCGTTGGTAGGGAACGTGCAGATTCCAAAGGCACCACCGACACTTCTCAGGAAGTACAAGTTCAGACTGCCGTAGTCACCCTTGCGGAGAGCCGTCTTCATGGCCGTCTGGCTGCTGTAGCCGGCCCAGGCGGAGTTAATGGTACGGGTCGTCTCGACGAGGTTGAACTGGATGCCGTGGGGCGCAAAGTTGGAGTTCATCACGGCCAATTGGTCCGACACCATCTTGTCCTGGACGGAAATTCCTCATAAGCGGCCCTTCAGGTACTCTACACAATGACGAGAGCGCTTACAGTGATGTATCCATTAGCCACCGTCTGGGAGGAGGCCACGATGTGGAAATAGGTAGGGACGGTGATGGTGGCCAGGAGGCTGAAGTTACCGGCGTTGGCGGCCTCGTTCTCGGCAAGCTTCTTGGAGATTTCAAAGTGCTCGGCGGACGGCTCCTCGGTAGCACAACCGAATCTCGGCGTCGGCGTCACTGCGGCAGAGACGGAGGCGGCAAGAGCCGCGACAAGAGCAAGCTTGACCTGCATGATGAGTGAGCCGGGGGCCTGAGAGCTAATAAACGAGTTGGATAGGAGCGGTGAGAGGGATGTCGAGCTGAGAAGGAGAACCTTGATGGCAAGAGAGCTGATTTATATAGAGTCCATGATCATCCTCTCTTTGCGAAGGCTATCTTGTCGTTGTTGGGCTTCTATTCTCGGGGCTCTGGAAGTGGCCCGGTACGTTACAGCGCGCTGAAGCGGCTTGGAACGATGCCCTAACAGGAAGCCCGTTGATGGCGGTACTACCAAAGTAATAAGGCCCGCATCAGGCGATAGAAGGAAACTGGAAACAAGCCCGAGACTTGTCTTTCCAATGCTTCAGACTCCTTCCTCATCGGGCTGATACCAAGACTTTGGCGGTTCAGCTGGGTTGAGATGGGGGCATTATAGGACCACCAGTGTAAGCCGCGGACTTCCATATTTCCACCTTCTGTGTTCTGCCGTCTAGTTAGTGTTGTTGATAGCTAAGCGAGAGTCGGGTTTGTGTGGGGACCCCATGGCCCGGCAGAGTTCCCTCCTTGCATGAAGCGATCACTGATGGCCAAGGGGAATAAACATGCTCAACGTAATACGGTGGGCGTCGGATTCGACCGATAAGCTTAAACTGATCTGTTGATCAACTTGAAGCTAATAAGTGGCCCGGTGGAATACGTGGATGTGTCCTGGTCGAATGACAGGCGAGCTTCACTACTGGCGCTAGCGGTGTGTGGTTGCATTGCCATTCAACTGCTCATTATATGCTAGTATGCCAAGGTCTGCCAAGACGGCCTTTCATCCAACTGTAGAAGTACGATAGAACCTGCCTTTTTGAGCAACAACTTGGTAAACGTGATGACTGAGCTTGCTTCTTTGATTATCTGCCATTGGTCGAAGGGAAAGTTGAAAGACTAATCAGTGTCTCGGGGATTTGGAGGATCTGACTCCGCGTATCCGGACAGCGACAACTAGTTTCTGTTGAAAAGAGCTGCTTGCAGGAAGATAAAAAGGACTCTATATCTAGTCGTTCCGTTCTGAATCAAGGGTATTGCAAACGCCAAAGCCAATGTACTTAAAAGTGCGTATTCCTAGCCAATCAATGCCGCAACAAATGCGCAACAATGGCAAGCGGCTCTGGAAGAGTTGCGTCCTGTGATGAATGATCAATGCAAAGGCATTATAACTCCTCATTGGCTCAACAAGATGGGAAATAGGCAACGTGAAAATTTCACACAATCAACTGATGTGTTGCGATTTACACCGGATAATTACCGTCAGACTGGCGCGAGCTTCACCCAATTCCGACTCTTACTTGATGTTTCTTTTTATTCAGTTTGTTTGGTATTATGTTTCCTTATCAATCATTAGATCTCGGTCCATAAGGACGTTTGTGAAGACTCTCCAAAAATTTGCTTTGTGGACACAATTCATGACTAGGTACTTTACCTTTTCACATGAATGCCTTATCCTGATCGCTTTGCATCATCTAACGATTCATTTGCCCCTGCCTGCGGAGCTTTGTGCCCGAATATCTTTGGTGATGTAATGGCAGAAATTTCTCTATATCCCTATGATGGCCTATTGGGGATGGTACTAGTGCTGAGATCAAGATAAGGTGCTTTTCTTTTCATGTACAAGGCCGGCCTCACATCTCATGGAATTTGCCAATTGTTTCATATCATGTAGATGTCCAATGCACCGAGAGCGAAGTCTTTGACATACCAGCCAATTACAAGGGTAATAAGAAATTGATATTGAGCACAATATAAAATTAGGCCAGAACAAACGCATTCCGGTGCCAAGTTTCAATCGCGAGCTAAGAGCGTTCCATTTTATCGTTCTGGTGATTTTGCATGTCCTTCTATAACGTAGCACTAGAGTAGCTGCAGAGAAAAGTTTGCAATGTGACTTGAGCACATGGCAGATGTGATTGACTGAGTGTTGCTGACAACTTCATCAACCTACTGACAACTGCAGCCTCGTTCCCGGTGTTCCAGTCTCGACCCTCCACTTGCCTTCAAATTCTTTCCTCGAGCGTACCATTATAGGGATCGGCTCAGCAGGAGAATGCAGGGCGACAAACAGCCCATCAATCTTGGGCATCCTCCACTCCCTTCCAGAAGGCCCCTCGCCTTTGAATTCCGGCGCAACCTCAAAGTCAAGTTTCAAAGTCATCAACGCAATCAGCGTCATGGTGCCAGTGGTAGCGAACCAGCGCGCAGGACAGACATGAGGGGCCACACCCCAGATGGGAAATGAGTGAGGCGCCAAGTCTCCCGGCGCAGCTACGCCTGGCGCATCGGGCTTCTTCTTCATCTTGATGAATCGGTAGGCGTCGAACGAGGTAGCGTCTGCGCCCCACGTCTCCTCGTTTCGGAGAATGGGAATGCCGTTGATCTGAACATAGTTGCCGCTTTTGAGAAGCTGCGTCGTATCGTCTACTGTGATGGTCGTGTCGCGAAGAACCTCGCGAATGTGAGCGTGAATGGTGTGCAGGCGCTGTGCCTCCTGTATTGAAGAGAGGAGCAGAGGACATGCCGACTTGATGACCGAGACATCCAAGCAGAAGACGCCGTCCTCGTCAGTCTTGACGGCGTTGCGGACTTCTTTGCGAATTGCTTCCACTAGCCACGGGCGGGAGAATACCTCAAAAACGGACCACCACGTCGTGGGTACGTAATTGGCCAGCATGGCAATGTCGAAGCCAACGTTGATACGCCCAATATCACGAGGGGACACTCCATTTTCTTCCATGACCCGTGACCGGCCCCTGATGAGACCTGAAGCTGTCTCCAGGCCCCCAAGACGGACATATTCTTCGTAACGTTGACCGTTGCGTTCCCGCGCTTGCATTGCCTTTTTCGCAAACAGATCGGCGATGATGCCTCCAGGCAGAAGGATGTGTGCCTGATCAGCAAAGGTCCTGCACTGCGTTAGTTTCTCGTCTCGAGTCAATCTCCTTTACCCACATCGAAAGAGGTTCCAGGAAAGTAAGTACCAGAAGTCAGCCTCATGTTCAGGGTTCTTGAACGGATTGAGATGACCAAACATCCCTTCCGACGCTGACAGCCCAATCGCGTGCTTCAACCAGGCGAACAAATCAATCGGAGTGCCTGTCTCGGGTGATTCGAGGGCATCTGCAGCCAGCCTGTCAATCATCTCGAGTTTCACTTGCGTCGCAACAAGGCTCATGTCATCGAGCTCAGGACCAGCTGCCAGCGTCGTGCGTTGGACTCGATCAAATTCTTTAGCCTCTGGTCCACCTCCAAGGTGATCTTGCAAGCTGGTGGCCTTCTCATGGGCACCGCTCAAGTTGTGAGACGCCTTGGCTGCAAAGGGCGCAAAAGAAATGGTTTTGGCATTGCGTTGAATCGACGCGATGAAATTGCGCTCCGCGATGACGTAGAACTTGAAGGAGAAGATGGGCACAGAGAATATCTTGACTTTGGCTTCGGTTCTGTCGGGGCATGTCAGATACGGTACAGGACATGCATCAAGGGCTGGGAATCGGAAGGGCGGGGAGAACTCACCCAACTTTGGTAAAGTAGTTTCCAGAGCCATACTTGTTGAGACCGAGAAGATGGCCAATCAATGGCACGCGGGGTCTGATGTACTCTGGCTCTTGTGGATTTTTGGAGAGGAAGAAGAAAGACTCCAGCAAGTAGCTGCCGATGACAACCACGGCGAGGACCGTGCCGGCAAGGGCAGGAAGCTCCATTCTGAAACGATCCAATGGAACGGTCAGTGATGAAATTGAAGAGAGCGAAGAAGATTGGGAAGTCAGATGGGACAATTGAGGTCATATATCATCACCGTCAATCTGCCATAGATCCTTCAGGAGGGGCTAGTCGTAATCGTATTAGGTTGTTGGCCAGCTGTCCCATCCCTGTTCAGTATCGAGGAGGCTTGTTGAAAACCCCCTAAATAAGTACATGTATCGACGGATACACGAGAGCTGCATTCGGTTACTCCACAAGGGAGGGGTCGCGCTAGTGTGACAACAGTAATTGCGGGTGATTGATTGGCTTGATGGAACAAATCCGAGGCCCTGTCCCCGGTCTATTATCTTACGTGAGAACATTGGAACTTGGGCGTCAGCTGAATCCCTCGACATAATGCAACAAAAGATATGATATCCTGATTTCGGCCTCGCGAACAAGACTGAAAGTACTGTGTTCACCAGTGCGCAACGCCCAGGCATTTCGGAACATATTGTTGATAGGCGACGTGATCCTTAACCTTCCGTCAAGACGTCTTGTGGACCATTTAAAGTTTCCAAAGCCATCTCATTTAGCTTTCTCGTGCTGTGATGAAGAATGTTCTTGGCGAAGCTAAATTTTTGATGGGTGGACTGCCGCTGTGATAGTCCCAAACGATGTTGAAAAATCGTGAATCCTGATTCCACCCGGACGACAACATGGCAGGAGTCATTGATGTGAGCGGTTAACTTGGGGGATGTTCTAACACACATATAGACACTAGAAGAAGCCCATATCAAGCCCCGTGTGGTAATGACGGTGCGGAAGACGCGTGTCTATAAAAAGCCGAGATCGATCTGTTTCTCGTTGCATCACAGTAGCACACGGCCGAGGGTTTAGCATAGATTGGGGAACACCGAACTCAGTTCTGACTGCTTGCGATCTGTGTAACTAATAAGTCCATGTCCTTCCCCAAGGAGGGTCTTTAAGAAAGCTCACAGCGATTGACGGCAAATAAACTCCCTGTCATCTACTTCTCTTCGTGATCTTCAACCAAAAGTCATGTGTGATCCAGAATCCTGCACTCCACAACCTCATAGGCTTCTCAGGCTTTACAATAGAAAAGTCATATCTACGGAGAAGCTGTAGTCGAAATCGTTAGCAAAGGTCTCCACCACATGGAAATACAGCAGATATCTGACCTCAACAAAGATCTTGTTCAACTCCATCGACGCAATGTTCCTCCCCATGCAGTAGAACTTGCCATACCCAAACACCATGTCAGTCGTTGACATCATGGCCTTATACCTTCCCTCGTCGTCGGACATAGCCGCCTCGGTCCATCTTTCCGGCCTGAAGAGATGTGCGTCGGGTCCGAAGATGTCGGTGGATCGGCCTATGCTGCACACATTCTCCCCCAACTGTGTCCCGGCAGGCAGCCTATATCCATGAATGACGTCCCCTTCTGGCGGGACTTGCTTGCTGACAATGCCGGTAGACGGCGGGTATAGGCGGAGACCCTCGCGTATCACAGCTTGGAGATACGGCAGGAATCTGGCCTCGGAATCTTTGATCGGGGAGCTAATCATTCTCTTGGCGATGGCGGCATCAATCTCGGCTCGGAGGGCTGTGAAAGCTTGCGGATTAGACAGAAGCGACAAGAGAATCATACGAATCGCCGTCGCTGTGGTATCAGAACCAGCAATCCTGGGATACGTCAGCCATTGATGCGGCCGTGATCCTCGGGAACGAAATGGTCATTACGTTTCAACATAAACTTCTTGTGTCAACTCTTCCCTCGTCAGCCCAGCATTGATAAACGACTGAATCATGTCCCGGCCCGGCTTCGTGTCCGGGGCCAACCTTCCATCGACAAAGGTTTTGGCAAATCTGATTCCATAATGTCAACCATTTTAGTAACAGACCAAGGACGCCACGTCACATACCCCATGAGCGCGCCGAACCCAGCAGAGTCTCCAGACTTTGGCAACCCCAGGTTCAGAGGCCAACTGTGCATAAGCGTTGCCAGCCATGGCACGTTTCCCATTGTAATCATGACAGGAAAGAAGGCGTCTTTCGTGGCGACGTACTGATACAAATCTCGATCTTCTTTGAGGAAGCCATACGGTGTGCCGAAGCCGAGCTCACTGATGACATCCAACGCAAAATAGGTCGATTTGCTGGCCATATCCATGGGTCTGAAGTCCTTTGCGGTAGAGATGTACTTGCGATCAATGAGGTCAACGAAAGCAGTAATGTTCTTGTCTATACCGGCCTCAAATCCCCCATTCTCTAGGCCCGAGTACTGCATGCATTCACTCGTCAGCAGTGGAGGTGCAGGTGTACGCTGGACAAAGCTGAGCTTACACCGGGTCCCATTTTGCTCTTCAAATACTTGCGCTTCTCTTCATCGCGCATCGAGAACAAGTGGTCCTCCCCCGGGGTCGTTCGCCCGACAGCGTACCACTCACCCTTGGTGTACTTACTTCGGGTGCCGGCAATCTTTTTCAGAGTGTCGCCATCGCTAAACATGACGGTATTGGGCCCAATACGAACCAAGGGGCCTTTTGCTCTTGGTCAGCATGGCTGCTGTCGCATCGGACCATCACCAAACGAAGCGCGCTCACCGTATTTCTCGTTCAGTTCCATGTAATACTCATGTACAGACCCATTCAACGCAGCGCGCGCCATCGAGAACCCAGTGACTCCGTGCCAGAACGGCCCAGGAACGTGAGAAAGCCGATACCACGAGTAGAATTCCTTCGCCAGCAGTCCCAAGAAGACTGCGACGGCAAGCACCAGCAGAACAGCCATCTTATCGATCGTGGAATTTTCAAAGAGACTGTTTGATTTGAAGTATGTTGTAGTTGATGAAGAAAGGTCTCTGGCACCAAAAGAAGAACGGCAGAGGGGTTGGAGTCTCAGCTGCTAGCCGAGAGCTTCCCTAGTGCCATGTGCCAGCCATGGGGACGCCGCTCTCGGTGCGACCCCCAAGACTCTAAAGCTTCCAGTCATCACATTTTCTGCTTCTGAGCCGCTCAAGTGACATCTCGTTTGAGACGCCTGGCTGACTAAAATGAGACGTTCGACAGGACCACGAGACCTAGCGGCCAGCCCAGGCTCAAAGAGGTATAGCTAAATAGGAAATGGGGATTTTCCTGTCCTTGGAACCCGTCAGATTAGTCTCTGCAGAACATCAGCTGACATATTTCAAAGGTGCAAGCTTATCGTGTCTTCCACCGCCTCTTTGAGTAGTTTGGACTAGATCTTGAGGCAGAAGGTATTTGACTTGGCCCAATCCAGTGTAGTCTGCTGGGTCAACCGAGAGTCTTAAATAAACGTCCACTCGACAAATGGTAAGTTGTAGTTAAGATAACACTTGCAACACTCGACTCCGGCATCAAGTCCATCATCAAAAAGCTTAGAGGGCGCGGCGGATACAAAAAAGTTCATTCACAATCCGGGCAAGGGAGACTGACAAGGAATGAGTTTTTCAATCAAGATTTATTGCAGTTATAGTCAAGGCCCCGCCAACACGACCCTTTGGCCCAGCAACCCGAAAATTCCACACTAAGCTCTCGATAACCACCGATATATAATCACCGTCCCCACTCAGGCATTTCATCCTGATCATTTCATACACGACTTCGACCTCGACCAGCAGGTCGCCAATCTTGGTCTTTTGGGAGCGCGCGAGCCTAGTATAGGCCAACGAGGATGTCACCTCGGACCCGCGCTGTGAGGTGAACCTCGGCTTCAAGGTCAAGCTTGATACCGACCATGAGGCCGGCGTCCTTGAGCTTGCCGTTGTCATCAACGGGACCCTTGAGGAGGTTGCCTACCCGGTTCTCGAGTCAGAACATGCTTGTAATTTCTTTCCTCCGAGAGAACGGGGGGGGGGGGGGGGGGGGGGGGAGCGGTTGTGCGAGTGTTTGTGTGAGCGTGGGGGGGGGGGGGGTGGGGGGGAGGAATGGGAGGGGGGGGGGGGGGGGGGGGGGGGGGGGGGGAAGGGGCTCATTATTGCGGCTTACCAATGGGTCCGTTGGCGGGGCCGGAGAGACCGGGCATGGGGAGAGAGTTACCGAAGCCGCTGTTCTGGTTGTTGGTGAGGTTGTTGTTGATGGGCTTGGTGGTGTTAGTGTTGGGGTTGCCGGTGCTGAGGGAGTTGTTGGGGTAGCTGCTGGAGTTGAGGGGGTTGCTGGAGCTGGTGGAAATGGTAGACGGGTTAGAGGTGGTGGTGCTGGTCGGGGGAACCGAGTTCTTGGCTCTAAAAGGGGCGCAAAAAAAATTCAATTGGTCATGGGTTCAGACCCGTGGAGTTTTGGTCGTACTTACGGGGAAGACATGGTTGCGGTGGTGGTTGATGGAGGACGTGAAGAGGATGGAGGTGGGGTGGATGGACGAGGAGACGAGGGCCGAGGCGACGACGGGCGAGAAGACTGGGAGAGCGAAGAAGGCGGACGGGGAGAGGACGGACGAGGAGAGGACGGTCGTGAAGAAGACGGCGATCCTAGGCTTCGTACGTGGATGAACTTGAGCGATGGTCTCTGGCGAAGCTCAGGCTTTTCAGGCGGTGGCTGGTTGTCCGGCGGAATCTTGTCGAGAGACTGCTCGGAAGGAGATCTTTTTCGTGAATACCGCGAGGCTGAGTTGCTATGAGACTGAGGAATCTTGGTGCTGCCGAGGAAGAAGACGGCCATGACAGCTGGGCATCCGCTTCCTCTTTATCCTTTCCCGACGGCGTCGAACTGAGACATTGTCGCACAAGACTAATATGAAGTCGGAGAAAATCGTCCAATTTTCCCTTTCGTCCGGACATGGCCGTCGTCTCTGCTGCTGCCGCGCTGACGTTGCCGCTGCCGCTTGGGGGAAATATCGACAAGGATGCCTCGAGGACCTGGTGGTGGAGATTTTCTGCAATGGAGAGACAACTCATTGCCTCTCTGCCCGACGGGAAGGTGACCGCGCAGCTCCCAACAAAAGAAAGCACATCTCTGCCTTCAGGGATGATGCTTGCTGATCCGATGAGCTTTCACTTAAGGTATCGGGAGAGGCTTGACGGGATAGATCGGGGCAAAATTCTGCCAGACACTGGCATAAATCTATTCCCCCGTTGAGCTTCAGTGTTCCCCCCTTTTCCCACCTGTTGGACACAGCAGAGACATCAACGACACGCTGCGAGAGCAAAATGGTCGCTACATTCATCGTCGCCTTCTCGGCGGTTTTCGGCATGGCGGAGGCCATCCGACACACGCAGTCGCAGGCCCGCAGGAAAGAGCATCGCAGTCGGAAGAATAATCTCATAATCCGATGCCGCAAATCAACGTGTCACTCCCCAGATATCCACGGGAAGCACGTAGTCCTCTCCGGAGACAAGGTATCTACAGATCCCAGTAACCCAGCCCTCCCCTTTGAGATTCGACCTGCTGATGAAGGCTACTCTTCCCCGATCCCTTAGCTCTTCGTCGACACCGGCACCGACCCAGACTCGGCGTTTGGCCACCAGTTTGCGGGCTACTTCCTGCCGTACCCGGACAGCCAATACGCCGGTCTCGTCTCGACCATCTGCGACGAGCCGCCCATCATGAACTGGATCTACGTGGACCGGGACACGTACGAGGTCAAGTTTGGGACCCGGCCGTACGCCCAGCCCAACTACACGGGCCCGTTCGACTGCACCAGGCAAGACAAGCGACTCACCTTTGCCAGCTGGGAAGGGTTTTGCGTCGTCAAAACAGGCAATTTCTGGGCGCTCTACTTTGACGTTGAGCAGGATGGGCTCAAGTCGAAGCTGCCAGAGGGCGTGACCGCCCTCGAGGTGGATCTCCTGCGCGTCGAGGTACCTGTGAAACCGGTCAAGCCGGAGGAAGAAGAGCAAGCGGAGGGCAAGGATTCCGGTCAAGAGGGCAAAGAGAACGGCAACAGTGACAATGGCAACAACAGCGGCGGCGCTCACACAGCAGCAAATGAGGTGGAGCTGGAGTCTCCCGAGGTTGACTAATGCGTGGAGATACCAAGGGGGTGGCTAGTAAGGGAAAGCAATTCATTGCTTGTGGGGGGGGAGAGTATGTCATCCCATGTAGGACAGCCAATGTGCTCGGGGCAGCTTGATGGATGAAGAAACAATTCCAAGCCTTTTAATCCCAGCTATTGCCTTGCCGAGCCTGATAGTGTGGCCCATCGGACGATTCCCGCTCCAGATCGCAAAAGGTACTCTGTCCCCGTGGCGAGAAAACACGACTTCTGATGGGATCAAAGTCCTCGCTCAGATCCTGTGAGAGAACTCTTCGCGCACGTGAATTTCGTTGGTCGTGGGGAGCGACGGTTTGTGGGTAGTCGTAGTTGAATGTCGGTGCAGGTGCAAGTGCTGGCGTGGGCG